TAAATTATGGATCGCAAATTAATGGTAATAACTAGTAAAAAAACAATATAATATTGATATAAAATATTTTTAACCTATCATATAAATTTAATATTTAATTCTGTAAAATCAATATGATGAAAAATGGTTATTAATTTTGTAATTTATTTTTTGGCCCACTCCTCCATCATAGATAAATTGGCTTATAAATTTTTATTTATTTTCTTTGCAAAAATAAATTCGAGGTTTCCCAGCGTACGAAGATCAACCAAATGATGAACCAAATGATGATATCCTAGAGGATATAGTGGGTTTGTCCTTCTGCAAATATAATGCCACACTAAAGCGAGATATATGCAACAAGATATTTTGATTAGCAAATCAATAATTTAGATTTTTTTTTTCTAATAAAAATCAAATCTTGTAAGCAACATTTTTTATTAATATTATTCATTTTGTATTTGATTATTTTGTGATTTTTTTTTAAAAAATAACTATTAAATTATATTGTCAAAAAACTGAATTAAATTTGAAAGCAATCATTGGAATATATTTGGGGTTAGGTAAATGGGCTCGGGGTTTTTACTATTTTTTAAATTTAAATTATTTGTAGCGTGGAGCTTTTTTTTTTCAATTTTGAAAATATCCGTCGGGGTAATTTCTGAATTTCGAAAAATTCAAAATAAAATTTTTTTTTCCTGTATTTTTAATTTATGATAAATCTATATTATATAAAACGAAATATTGATTCCCTTTTTTTCGCTTAGCTTCTGATAAACTAGGTTTGTTTTTTAGGTGAACACTGAACAGCGTGAACCTTATTTATCATAAAATATATTATAAAAAATAAAGGGTTTAGTAAATTAAATAAAATTGATTTAAATCAACTCACAATTATGATTTAAAAATAATAGAGAATTAATGTCAGAATTTTAACGCGTTCTTTCTGTTTCAAGTAAAAAACATGACCATGCATGAGTTTAAAAAAATTTTTGACAATAATTTCTAAAAAAAAAGAAGAAGACGTTATATCTAATAGTTTTTTGGCTACTTATTACCATTCAGCTTCAATATTAGGAAAAAATCTTTAAAGATCTTGCTCTTTTGAAGATCAAAAAATGTGAAGATCTTTGAGCAAAATACTCCTATGATTTTCCCTGATCCCTTTTTTAAAAATATTTCCGAGATGTTTTTTTAAACAAAATAGCATACATCCAATTTTTTTGACCTTCAAATATCATTTAAAATTTTTTGTTAAACCCTGGTTAGTAGTAACTTTTTTTGTAAATTAATTAGAAATCAGGCCAGGTTACACCTGTTTTAAAAGTATGTTTTATTTTCATTTATTTCATTCGTTTTATATATTACTGCAGAAATTAAGAATTTACTCATGCCACACGTATAAATCAAAATTTATATTTAATAAGTTCTTTAGTTGGGTTTGACTTCCACTATCGGCTATGGAAAATAATCACCATTTCACTGAAAACTGAACCAGTTTAGGGTGATAAAATCTTTCCGGCTAATTTCCTAAAAAAAAATTTTTGTAGTTTCCTAATTAAGGAGAGAGAAAAAAAAACATGTATTTAAATATTCCTTAATTTTTACATGATATCCTTAAATTTTCACACTCAAAATCAGGACTATCCCCAAAGAAACAATATAATATTGCTCAATTTGACATGATATCGTCCTCAAATTTTTATACTAAAAATTAAGACTATTATCCTTAAAAGATCAAAAAGAGATAATTTATTAATACTTATTTTTTTTTATACAATCTTACATTTGAAAATATAAAATTATATTAGAAAAAAAAAATTGATTTTAATACAGTAAAACTGTCTATAATGGGCTTGATAATTCGGGCAATTCACTAATTTGACCAAAATTTGGACCCATCTTCTACAGCTAATATTAGAAAGTAAAAATTTCAGATAAATTAGACAACTGCCTTTAGGAAAATATCTTGGTCTTAACCCAAATTAGACATCTTTTACTGTATTTTTAAAATTTTTTGAGGTGGAAATGGGTATTTATTAATCCCTTCATTGGCTACAATCCTTCTAATTTTCAATAGCTTATTTGATAGAGGGAACAATTTTAAATTTAGGCCATTCTCATAAGAAATATAGGATAAATTTAAGAATAGCTATATCCCCCCCCCTTTCCCATCAAATAATTTCTGGCATATTTTTGAATTTATTTTACGAATGAATAAATGTTATTTAAAATAATAGTTATGATGTATTGAAGGACTAAGGTCTTTTTAGAGTGTGCTATTCAATCACGCTTCCTATATTGGTCTATCTTCTCATTAGGAAATGTAAAAATACTACACTCTTACAGCTATGTGTTGTTATGTGTTTTAATTTTTTAAAAATTGAGTACAACACGAGCAAGAGCTCATCACCCAATCTTTTTGACTGAAGCAAATTTCATTTACGTTTGATGCATAAATTGATCAAAATCCATGTTTTTGAAATTCTTCGGTGTGAATTTGCTTCATAATAATATGAAAGAAAGAATATGATCAAAAATGTGTAATGGTGCTTAGTGATAATAAAAAAATTAAATTTTTAATAAAAAAATAATGTTTTTTATTTATTACTTCTGTCCTAATATTTAAAACAGGGATGTGAATCCTTCAACAAAAAAACAGGTCCGGGTACAGTAATAAAATTTAAAAAGGGTCGGTGGGGGGGGGGAGTCCGGGTTCAGGGAACCTAAATAAAATGACTCAAAATAAGACTTTTTTTAAAATTCATTTATTTTAATATGGTCTTTAGCCATTTGTTTTTGTTCAATACTCAATAAAACTTGATATCGAGGGTCTAAATATATAGAAGCGTACAACACTATTTTGCAAATATTGTTGCTCTCGAATTTTCATGTTTTCTAATATTTCATATGAAAAAGGACTAGAAAATCTTTCTAAATCTAATAGGCATCTAATCCATATGCCATAAAAATCAGATAAACATTTGTTCTGCTGATTGTAATCTTAATGTTGTTATTTTTAGAACTAATACACTAGTAAGGTCTTATTTGGCACCAATCATCTTCCGACTAAATGACTTCACATGCTCCTATAATAAAATCATTACAGAAATCTTTCCAACTTAATCGTTCTAGCATCATACAAATTGAGGGCCAACGTGCTGTGCAATCTAATATTGCCATTGACCTTTTCATTGATTTAATATTTTTACAATTGTGGGAGTTCTTAAATATTTTGCAACATCCCTTGCTTTATCAATGATAGTTTTAGAGTGATTATTTTTTAGACAATCATTAATAGTCAATTGTAGAGTATGAGGTGCATATCTGATGCAATTAATAAATTTGTGGGGAAATCTTTTAAATTTATATAATAATTTATGATATCAATCACTAAATAAAATGGAAGTCCATTAAGAAAATCGAAAGAAAAACGCGAAGATAAAATAAATGATTCCACGAAAAAAATTAATAAAATTTAATTTATATTTTTTTATAAAAAATATTTTTATTTTTAAATTTTTTTATAACACCTAGAACCTCCACTTTCAAAAAGGGTCTGGGTACCGCCAAAATAAGAGAGTTCAGGGTCCGGGTTCACATCACTGATTTAAAACACTATAATATTAAAACACTAAAATTAAAAATATAATTTCATAAATTTGCTTTCAAAAAGGATTCATAACTATAACTTAAAATTCCTTTCTAAATTTTTTGAAATCAGTTAGGTTTTCCCGCACAGGTTCGAATCCTATCGATTGCGTCATTTTACTATAGTGAAAACAATGAATAATTTTATTATATCTTTGTAATTAATTTCGCCAGTTTATATATCTTTTAAAAATCAATATAAATATATCAATAAATCATAATACACAATTAACAAATATATTTGAATAACAATTAATCCTATTACCAATTGCCTTTATTTTCAAGGCTAATTGATCCTATTACAGTATTAAATACCTAACGTCGAAAACAAGTTTTTTTTTACTATTAATAAATTTTGTTTTTCATAAAGCAACCTTAAATTTTAATATTTATAAAATTTAATTATAAAATTTAATTACCACTTTGTTTAAAAAATATAAAAGCAAAGATGTTTATTTTTTAGAATTCAAATTTTCCGTGATTCATGCAAAATTCATATTCGCCCCTAAATCCCCCTCTATGGTTTTTTTTAAAAAAAAACCCCTAATCACGGATAAAAATTTATTCACAACCGCAAGGTGACCCATCACTTCAAGGGGATGGTCACGATCTGAACTCACCTCTAAGCGGTTATAACTAAAAAAAACAGAGATGCAGAAGCTCAATTTTAACGGTCTTTACATTAAATCTTAACTGATATTCTAAAATAACAACCTTATTCTGTTATGATATTAACCGGTTTTGTAAAATTTATAATGGTATCGCTTAGGATTTTTTTTCAATTTTCCTTGAAAATTTCTTTACTTATAACACCCCCCCCCCCCCCCACCCATATTCCTTTTTGGCTTTATATTTATTTCTACTCATTATAAATTTCATAAATGATAAATAAAATCTTTATTTTATTCTAGTATATAATAATTTAGGTGTCGGTTAAGCAAGGTAGAAATCTGCAAAAGCAGAGCTAACAAGCCGGTCTGGCCAAAAAATTATTAGACCGGGTTGGACAACTTGAGCAAAAATTCTTAGCGGACCGAAGTGGGTCGGGTTTTGCAGATATAAAACAAGAAGTATTTGAAAATCGAGATATTTACTTTTATAGCTTCTGCTATAATTTACATAAATAAATTTTTTGTCGATAAGGAGAGAATGCTGGGTATTGTTATAATTCATTAATCAAAATGATATTTGTTAAAATATGAAGAAAAATAAATTGCATTTGTTATGGGAGATTGCTCCTCCCCCAATATATTATTGCAATAATTTTTTTTTAAAAAAACAAGACGTTCACTCACTCAGAGACCGTATATACCTCTCAAATTTGAGAGCGAATTTGTGTCTCATATCGTATTATGATTTTTTTTCTCTAAAACACAATAATATAAATAAAAATTTATAATACAAAGTTTATAAGTGACGAATTTATACGATCAATACATTAAAATATTCATTATATTATATAATAAATTAATCAGAGGAGAGTGATTCTTTGTAGTAAGTTTCGAGTTTCTTGACATTGCTAATAAAATCGGTGTCGGTTGACTCGGTCTTGTCTATCATGTCTTGAACAAATCCTTCCCAATTATTGGCCCTTTCTTTCCTTCTTTGATTCAGCTTTTCTTTGTAACCACCGCCTTCTCTACCCAGTAATTTTAGACATTGCTGATTTACTAAATCAACTTTTTTTTTTAAAAAGAAAGTAATATTAACAACTTAACAAGTTATAAAAGCGATAGGTTCTATATCGCTAAAAAAAAAATTGGGAATTGCTTTTATCTCCTAGAAAATTTTTAAGTAAATTTGAAATTAATTTTTTAAAAAAATAAATGAAATACATAATTGTTCAGCGAGATTCTCAATTTTTAGCAATTTAGAACGGGGACCTTATAAAATGTGATGGAGGCGTAGATAAACTTTAAATTTTAATTGGGGATCGAGTCCTCAAGAGCCTCTTGTCACAGTTAGTGAGGATTTGAGTTTCAAATGTAATCAGGATTAGTCACGATTTATATATTATATTTATAAATTTCGATTTTTGTGAAATCATTCTGTATTTTGATTTTTGAGTTATTTGTATAGCTTTATTTTTGGTGATTGATTTTTCAGCATGATTTTTTTGTTTATAATTTTAAAGAAAAGTATTTTTAAATTGTTATTTTTTTACAATTAGTTTAATTATTTTGGATTCATATTTTGGAAATAATTGGAATTAATTTTGCGTTGAAATTTGATTGGCATTCCTTCTAGATAAATTTTATCTTCAAATAAGCGATTACTGATATATATTTTAAAAGGACGTTATTTGTATATTATATTATTATAACTTTCCAACATTTAATATTTATATTATCGAGGTTAATCAAATTGCATATATTTAGAAGTTAAATTGGATAATTATATAAATGTATATATACAGAAGAATTACAAATAAAATTCATTATTGTTTTTAAACAGTAATCGATATAATATTTGGCGACGAGGTAAAAAAAAGTCGCGCGGTTTTTCGGTCTTCGGTCAAGTTAAATGTTAAAAGTTATAAAAAAAAAATTCTGTTTATAAAAAAATAATAATAATAGATTTTAGAAATTATGGATAAAAGATATGAATGTTCTATTGACGACTATAGACACATAAAATATATACTAATAGATTTTAAAAATTATGGATAAAAGATGAATGTTCTATAGACGACTATAGAGACATAAAATATATACTAATAGATTTTAGAAATTATGGATAAAAGATGAATGTGACGACTATAGACACATAAAATATATACTAATAGATTTTAGAAATGGATAATAGATGAATGTTCTATTGAAGACTATAGACACATAAAATATATACTGAATATTAAAAATATTCCTCAATGACGACTAGACACAAAAATATATACTGAATGTTAAAAATATTCCTCAAACTGATCACTTAGAAAAAATTATTTATAGCTTATGGAGGAATAAATATTATAACTGATATAAAAAAAAATTACTCTTCCAAAAAAAATATGGACAGATATACAAAATTGCAAAACAACTTTATAAAGATGAAAGAACTGTTTTGGCATCTGCGGGCCCCTACTGTATGCGTAATGAGCTATTTAAAAAATATAAAGGAGCTAGCCCGAAGATGCGAATTTGAAGATAATGTAGAACTAAGAATTCGCGATCAATTAATCGCCGGACTAAAGATGTCACAACTAGATAAAGAACTACGTTTAAGATACCCAGATACTAAAGAGGAAGACCAACCGTTAAGCTTAAACAAAGTTGTAGAATAACGATGAAACGGGCTGACTTAGAAATAAATAACCAAAATGATTGATGCAGCCCTATTTAGATTTCCGTGGATTAGGCACTATCAAAATGAGTGATACAGCCTATTTGGATTTCCGTGGATTATAGAATTTGACCAACAAATGTAAATATCAATATGATCAATAATAGATATAAATATAATGATAATGGTAACGTAATAGATCCATCAACAACAAGAGTAACTGGAGTACTCCAATGGTAGTGGTACGTAGTGAAAGTCAACGGTCCGGTCTTATCGGTCTTAGACCGGGACCGATCTTTTTTGAGGACCGTGGTCCGGACCGGTCTTTTTATTTTTTACGGTCCGGACCGGTCTTTTATTATTATTAAAGTTTGCTTTACTATTCAATTAATATAATTTTTTTGTATATTTTATTTTATGATATTTTTCTAGATGAGTTATTTTAGATTTTGTTAATTTTTATTTTACAATATGAAAACCATAAGTTTGTCCAAGAAACATTTTACTTATAGTCCCAATAAAAAACATAAAGTATGTGTTCACTGCAGTACCAAATTTAATGTATCGTCAGCAACAAGTAACAAAATAATTGTTTATAATTTTTTAAGCAATAAATTAATCAAAATAAGCAGTATTATTATTAAAATATTTTGATTATTATTTATATAGTTCTATTTTTTCTTAAGAAACTGTCTGAATAATTCATTGTCAAATTAACTTAACCTTATTCTTAATAAAATAATTAGGTACATTAAGCAGACATCTGATAAAACATAAAATATATACTTCTAATGATGAAAATGAAAATATCTCAAAAACACAATATACTCTTAATATAAATATTCCCTCCACAAGCACAAAATCACTTTCTTCAATACCATTGGATAAATTTTATTGTTTATATAATACTCTTATATTTATTAAAACAAATTAAATTAGGTTAAAAAAAATATGTTTTTTAAACAAATAAAAAGATCGGTCCTGGACCGGTCTTTTTATTTAGGACCACGGTCTGAATCGATCTTTTTAATACTGTGGTCCGGTCCGAGGATATCGGTCCAGTCGGGACCAAAGACCGGACCGTGACCTTCACTAGTGGTAAGTAAAATACAGGTGAACTACGATTATGTGGAGATTTCAAAATCTCAAAGATGCATATCTACAAATAGCATTGACGATGAATCGCAAGAATTATAACCAAAGATACAGCAGTTTATTGTTATAAACACAGGGAAAAATGATAAAAAGATTAGTAGACGCCTTAACTTGGTGGGAAAGAAGATATGTTATATTTGAATATATATTTTAAAAGGACGTTATTTGTATATTATATTATTATAACTTTCCGACATTTAATATTATATTATCGAGGTTAATCAAATTGCATATTATTAGAAGTTAAATTGGATAATTATATAAATGTATCTATACAAAAGAATTACAAATAAAATTCATTATTGTTTTTCCCTCTCTCTAGTGAGACCACTGGAATATATATTTAGCAAATTATAGAAAAATAATTCCATGACTTGTAAATTTATAAGCAATTCATATTACATATTTCAAGGGGGAAGGGGGGGGGAGTGGTCAAGCGTGAATGTCGTTGTAAGAAGTGAAACGGGTTTTAAAATGGGGCGTATAAAAATGGGAGGCTAAATATAAAGGTAGCGGGAGGTTATAAAGGTATAAAATCAAGGTTTTCCAAATGAACCAAGAGAATATCATATTGTTTAAAAAAAGTACAAATAGAAACTCGTAAACAGAGAAGTAATAATCAAAGTTAATACTTTATAATAGTTAAAGGTGCCAAGATAGCAAGCTTCATTTCTATATCAGCTCATTCCCAAAGTTAAAAGAATCTTTTCTTTAATCTATAGTTAAATGAGAGAAATGATGAAATCATATTTACTATTAAAAAATTATATTATATATAACCAACCCCAAATCATATCAATTTTTTTTAAAAAAATTATATTTAAATATGCAATAAACTATTGAAAAATTAAAGGTGACTATAACTATTCAATTTGAGTAACTGTGGTAACTAGTTGCATTTTGAATATATAATTATGCTATTTACCTAGTTAAATTTTGGACAAGGTATCTTTTTAATATAATTAATTATTTGAGGAATGTTACTTTAACAGTACTTGGATTTAGTATGTTAGTTTTTGGCCCATTCCAAATGGGGTCTGAAGGTCTTTGACATTAAATATCATTAATCTGTCCAATAAAAACTTACATGATTAAATGTCAGAACATAAAATTTACAACAAAAAGGATGTCTGCATTTTTTTTTCTTTTATAGATTTCACCTTGTCAGGTTATATATAGGCTCCTATATTTTATATTGTTCATACAGTCCATTTTATCAAAATTATATTTTACGATATTGACTCAATTACTATTGAGCCCATTAGAGTTGGTCCACCTCTCTTCCATTTACCCCTCAATTATAAATATAACCATGATTCCTATTATTTTTTGGGAATTCTCATCATATGTTTATAGTACACATGTCTGTAGGCATTGATCTTTGGTTTAATGGGTACTATTTATCTGATTCTTTTTTGATATCACAGTTCTCTTCAGAATGACCATCATCATTGTCTTATTCCTTTCTTGCCATGTTGCCAAATTACATAAGATAATTGGCTATACTGTATATATTACCCTTTATATGGATGAATATATTTTCAAAAATCACTTTTATACAAAAGTTTTATAAAATAAAAAGAACTTTTCATAATGTGAAAAAAAAAACTTTTTATATTAAAAAAAATGAAACTCGTTCATATCCATAACAATTTGATTTTGATTAATTCCTTATACAATTTTGCCAGATGGCATAAACCAAAATTACTTTTAAAAATTATTAAGCAATGATTGAAGAAATAAATTTAATGCAATTTTGGGTTTGTTTTTATAAAAATAAAAAATTTATCTGAAGAAAAAAAATCCAAATAATAATTTTTAGAAAATAATTCCCTGGCATATTTTTCTAAATTATAATTAATATTAATTGTAGATACAATAATAAAAAATATTGAAATCTTGCCTTTGATAAATTTTTTTTATTTTAAATGAATAAAAAATATACATATTTTTTTATTTAAATATAAAAACCTTTATTATTTAATTCTGCCACCTCCAGATCATATTTGGGAACAAAATCCTCAATTTTAATCAATGACTGGTTAATTATATTGCCTACATTTGTTATAATTTTTTCTGTATTTTCCAAATCATGATTTTTCTAAAATTAAATTAAACATCAAATAAAAATTGATAAGTTTTACATCAAATTCTCTGATTAAATAAAGAATTTCTTGTTCAATTATATCTCTTTGATCATATATTTCATTGTGAATATTGGATATTTCTAAAATTATCATGTTTATATATTTATTAGAAAAATAAAATTTTGAATTTAAAGCATAAATTTTTTTTATTGAGATTTTGACATAATTGATAATAACTTTAAATGTTGTATGTATAAATATTTTGGCTAATCATTTATACCAATGTTTAGAAAAACATATAGCATATACAGACTAATGGTCTTCATAATAAAAAAATTCAATAAATATAATTGATCAATATTGTATAAGGAAAATATTTAAAAGGTATGCTTACTTTTTATTATAGAATTTATATTCATTTAAATATATTGTATCGATGCATAACCGATTCAAATTAAAGGGTGAAATGTTGACGTTGACATGAAGTTTAGATTTACTAATATGTCTTTTAATGAATCACAACTTTTAAAGTTTATATTATATTATTATAAATTTTCCTGGTTATCAATATGCAAGACTATACTATTAATATCAATAAGATTGGTTCCAATAAAACTTTTTTATGATAAATAAATTATAATTGCGTTGATATTTTTCGATTGGATTTAATGTTACTATTTTTTTCTAACACATGGAAGATCATATGTTAAAAGCTAAGGATTTTATAAATTTTGTTAATTCAAGTCCTTCCCCTTGGCATAGTAATAATATAAACGAATGCAATAAAAACAATCAATTTCAGCTGTTGATTCGACGATTAAAAAGCTAGTAAAATGTGGTTTTGAAGAAATTAAGAATAATGAAATATGGAATTTAAAAAGACTTGGAAAATATTATATAACCAAAAATAGATCCACAATAATTGCCTTTACTATAGGCAATAAATATAAATCTGGAAATGGATTCAGCATTATAGCAGCTCATACAGATAGTCCATCTTTAAGAGTCTAGAATATCTTTATAAACATTTTTAACCTTTTTTATAGCTGAAACCTGTTGCTAAAAAGTGTAAATTAAATTATCAACAATTAGGAGTTCAATTATATGGAGGTGGTATATGGTACACATGGTTTGATAGGGATCTAACATTGGCTGGCAGGGTTATAATTAAAGTTTGTATTATTTACTATTCTTAATATTAAGTACTTATTATTAGATTAACAATAACTTAGAACATAGACTATTTAATGCAGAAAGACCTCTACTTAAAATTCCGACAATAGCTATTCATCTGCATAATGAATATTTTGAAAAATTTGCAATTAACAAAGAAACCCATTTGTATATATTCTTGAAAAAATAAAAATGTTTTATTTATATTTAGGACACCAATTTTGGGATTAAAGCCTATAAATAATATAATTAATAAGGACACCAATAATAAAGACAAAGAGGACAATACAACAGAGACTGTTAATAAGAAATACTTTTCAGATGGCCATAATCAAGATTTGATGAAATTAATAGCTAATGACTTAAAACTACCATCAATTAATAATATAGTAGATATGGAATTATGTTTGGCAGATACTCAACCAGCAGTAATTTATAACAAATTATATAATTTATAATTCATACACAATCACTAATACCAAATAGTTTTATACCTATTTTTATCTTCACTTCTTTTTGTAAACTTATTTGCAATTATAAAAAATCCTTTAAAATAATTAGGTTGCAAGGAGGTTAATTAAGAAAAATAATTTACATAAGTTGGTGAAAAATGAATTTTTGCCCTTGTTTGTTATAAGGATGAAGTACAGCAACGTTGTTCAAATGATACATAAAGTTATGTTATATGACTATGCTATCATTTAGCAATGAATTATGCATTACTTGGGTTGTAGCTTGATATTTCATGCTTAATTTAAATAAGGCCTTATCATATCAATTGATTTTAGATCTATCACTTTGAAAATTCTATTGCTGAAGAATTTATGCCTAACTCCTTCTTTATTTATACTAACTGAAAATAATATGACATTGTTTTGCATTAAAAGATACTTCTTATGCTACTTTAAAATTTATGTATATATTTTCACAAATAAAAAATATTGGTATAAAAATATGACTATAATTTTTAATATATATATATAATTATTTTTTTTATTGAATTTCAATAATAATGACATTTTTTTTACTGTCATCCCCAAGTCTAGAGCGACAATCATTAAATATAAGTTTTACCATACTAATCGTTCATTACGATAAATTGAGAACAGTATTAAATTTAATATAAATATTTTTTTATATATAAGAAAATCATCAAAAATATACATTTTGAGTATTTTTAGATTTAAAAAATGCATCTATAATATTAAATCGGTAAAAATTTAAAAAATGATAATGAATTTTATTTGTAATTCTTTTGTATATATACATATATATAATTATCCAATTTAACTTCTAATAATATGCAATTTGATTAACCTCGATAATATAATATTACATATCGGAAAGTTATAATATAATATACAAATAACGACCTTTTAAAATAGATAACGTGACCTTTTAAAATTTATCTTAACCTTTACAATAATAAATATTCAGATGTAACATATAAGATTTTCAATAGTTTATTATTTATAAATTATCAATAGTAGGTGGCGTTTTTGATCTAGTTTGAGTATCCTGATTTGGTATAGTATTATTTGACGTTACTATTAGCTTATTAAGATGCCCATCGGATTCAATCAAATTATTATTTGGCCAATACTAGTCTTGTTAAACTGTCCGATTTGGGTCGATTTTAAAAAATGGCCCGATTAAGATTTTAGCCATAATAATATTATGTAAGACTGGAGATTTTGCTCATAGATAAGTTTGGATTTCTGTTTGTCAAATATCAAGACTCACATAACATTATTTTGGCCGGGCCTATTTTAAAAATAGGCAATCAAGCTGGCCCTTTAACAATACTAACCAATTCAATTTGAAACTAGAATATTCTATATCAGCTATGTTTAACATCCAGATAATAATTCATAAAAATTATTAAATAGACGAGTCTGATAATAAAATGACATGTTAATATTTTTATTGTAATTTTTAATTTACAATATAATACTAAATAATATCTTATGGCCAGTTGAAAATTACCATGTTTTTACTGGACCAGAAAAACGTAATCCCATCTAGCTCAAAAAATATTATAGACATAGATACTGCTTTGATTAAAATTTTATTTTAAAGAATAAGGATTAAGCTACTTATTGAATTTGTTAGACATATTACCTTTAAATGTTTTCTCAAGTTGAAGTTATTAGTCTTGTTTGATGATAAAACCTTCTGGCACATCTTACGACGAATTTTTTTACCCTATGTTAATTTTTTTTATCGAGATTAAAACATTTTGCGAATTCAGAAAAAGAAAATTCCATAATATCATCATCTTCCAGGGATATTACTAATGTGGATATTATCTATACAAAAATTATCTTCAATATCAATCTCTTTTGTCGACATTTTAAATTATTTTGGAAATTAAATTTATTATGCCTATTTTTAAATAAAAATTTCAATTTCAAAACTAAAAAAGATTATGATTTTAGAAAATTATAAATATATCTTAATAATTTTTATGTATTTATTATATAAAATTATAATTAGTAGCGAGTCTCTGCTATCGTTATTTTTTTTTAAATATAGTGCGCTAAAGCTACCGCTACTGAAAAAATAGCGAAACAAAATATATATACATTGCATTGCCTATAAAATGAAATTTATTAGATAAAATTTATTTAATCATGATTTGTAGACTTTAGGAGGCATCAATAATGAGTTCATATTTTCTCCCAGGCTCGATAATCTGTTGGGCTCTTTCACCGCTTTGGAAGTAAAATATTAACTTCTATGATTAATATTTTAACCATATTTCGCAGGGTTTTATTGAATCCTTAGATCTGAAATCAATTTCTGAAGAAAAAAATATCCGGGTTTTAGCGCTTTACGATAATGAAGAAGTTTTTTATAATTATTTTATCACTTCTTAAAAATTTGCATAAGAGATATCAAGATGAATGTTAATGAAATGAGTAAAAAATAATATTATCCTTTGAATTAGAGAGATATGACGATCCATTATCATTAATTTTTTCATCGATCGGAAATACATCTAAAATCGGCATACCTTCGTTTATAAATCTATCATAACTTATTCTCCGAACCAAACACTTTCGTTTTTTTTAACGGGTTCTAATTATTGTAGAAAGATTGAGTATTTTTAGAATTAAGAAGTGTATATATCTTATTGGGATATGGAATCCATATGGATTAGAAAGCAATTTTTAAATTTGTAAAGTTTGATTTGACCGGATTCTATTCTAGCATATGTAGAGTAAATTTTCTGAGTATTAGATAAATTTTTGCCATTAAATTTTATGTGTTTCAATCAAAATGAAGATAAATTAAGTGTGGCTCAAACGCCGCAAAATTGTTTGAAATTCGCAGCCAGTTCATACTCTATACGTACTGGAATACATTTCCGGTCAAATCACGTGTTTAAAATATAATAGTCGGCTTCTGTGATTCATTTAAAATCGAGATTCCGAATTCTCTCGGATTCCATATCTCAATACGGCATATACATATTTAACATTGTGACTTTTTACCCCTAAAATAAGAATAAATTGTAAATAAAATATTTTTTTTAAAGCAATCTGGCTACGTCCTAGCCTGTCATAATTTTTGCTTTTGATAGAACATTCCATTCAGAAAAATATTTAGGACACCTTATTTTTGGGTTTGTTAGTAGATTTTGACTCCAGGGATGCTTAAAAAAATACGATTAAAACATTCTATTCGGGGCTAGTTTGAATAGAGAAGAAAGATTTAATTTATTACGGTTATAACTTTTTTTATGTAAGTCTATTTAAAATTATCTCAGGTAGGCTCTCAAAGCACCCAAGGGGCTGCTTCGGCTTTCACGCATTCAATTCTGAAAAGGCTAGTTCATTTCCAATTTGAAAATGAATCATCAAACTTGGACGCCTTCGAAACGGCTATTGCCAACTCATTTTTGGTCAGCTCAGATCAAGCGCATGCTATTAATCCCAATTATTGGTAAATTAAAAAAAAATAAATCTAATTTTTTTAAAAAAACCCCATTTTCTGTTACAAAAAATTATAACTTAAATATTGCCCGAAAATTATATAATAATTTTAATTTTATTTTAAGAAGATCAATACAAATGTTTATATAAAAAAAATTTTTGTTAGTGAAAAACACGAAGAAAACCATCAAGTAAAACTGGATAAAGGATTCGTTATTAAACATAACGCCAATCAAAAGTACGCCACCACAGCTATCACTTCTGCTATCTTAAAGGAGATCGCACAAAAACAGGATATCCCTCTTCAAGTACTAATTATGAATTATTATACAATAAATTTAATTGAAATATTGTAAGGATTTAATTTTCCTTCATTTCTATATTGCTATTTAACTTCTTTTGTATTTTTTTTTGTTAAGACCAGTTTGAAATCCGCTTCAAAATGAATCTCCAAAGATATAGTCTCAAAAGATTTTTTTTAAGAATGCTCAGAATTAAATTTTACGTAAATTTCCGAAAAAATTATTTGTGAGAAAGTATTGTAATTTTTATGCATAAAAAATTTTTTTTTTAAACCTCTGGTTAAGTTATATAGTTTTATTTTTATATGAAAATAAAAATTTTAAAAATATAATTAGGAATTTGTTATAAGGAACGATTCTAGTTGCGGTAGTACTATAGGCCCAATTCAATCCGCCTTGCTGGGTATACAAACGGTCGACGTAGGGGGCCCTCAACTTTCGATGCATAGCATAAGGGAGACCTGCGCCGCCATCAGCGTCTCTCACGGAATACGACTGTTTAAGGTAACTATTAACATATTTTTGTTAATGAGCCGAGGCTAAAGAATTTGGTCAGATCGATTCTCTGAATTTGATTATTTGGGTAGAGGCAAAGTTTTTCTGACATACATTAACCGGGTAAAAACAGCTGTCAATTTAGATCGGATTAATTTAATTGAAAAAAAATAAAATAACTAAATTCCATTTGGTTTCATAACACATAATCTGTAGCTGCTGACTACTTTTTTAAATTTTTTTTATGGATTATTGGGCGATCTAAATCGAGGTTGTTTTCCGTTTATTTTAATATAAAAAAATTGACACTAATTAATAATTATTTTTTTTAGGCATTTTATGAAAATTTTTCAAAATTGGATTTGTCAAAACTTGTTTGAACGAAATGTCGAGATATTAATCAAATTAATAATATTAAATATTATTAATATCAACATTATGGAATCTAGAATTACATGTTATATTCTTTTATTTTATGTTATTTATTGACGTTTATCAATGTAGTATAAAAAAACACTGGAAATTTATATTCGTTTTGAAAAAAAAAGGTTTTATATATACTTATGCCAACCACAAACTATGCTAATTAATACCATTTAGGAAATTGACATTCCGCAATAGTTGTGAATTAATGTAATTTTTAGGCTTAATTGTGTTGGCCGTCAAAAGCAGCTTAATATCGCATAGTTTGAAGTAAATCTTAGGCAATATGGATGTGAGGTCTGCGAAGAACGAGTTTTTAGCGCTCCAAATCTACGGATAACCAGGCAAGCAAGTTCAAAAATTTAAGCATTAAACGAGTGAGCGGGCGAGTTAGAAAAAAGAATTATTTTATAACAGTGGCCGATGGAATTTGAAATATTTTTTGTGCGAAATATACAGAACAGATTTTTTTAAATTGAAAATTATTTTTATAATTTTAAGTAAAACAGGGATCCAAACCGAAACAAATATCGGTTCGGATAAAAATAACTGTTCAGGTTCAGTTCGTAATATAAATTTATCGGTTCGGTTCGAACCTCTAAAAACCGGTTTGAACATTTTTGTATTCAAATCTACATTCGAATTATATATAGGGAGGTATATTTTTTTATTTCATCATTAAAATGAAAAACATATACATAAAACCTTTATTTTTATTAATTGCAGATTATAAAATAATATTTTAATTATAAATAATACAAATAAATATCAATTTTAATGTGGGCAATATTTAACTGTGAATAATATTTAACTTTTTAAAATTAATATATTTTCAGATTCGCCTCACTCAAATTACATCTATAAAGAGATAGTATAAATTTAATTGTTGAAAAACACCTTTACACACTAACTTGGGTAGCTGGCAATGCCAGTATGATATCAAACAATTTACATAATTCTGGGCATCGATTACTCTGATTTCTACAATAGTTTAAAATATTCATAGTTTTATTTAACCTAGGTTATTTAGAAAAATTAACTACAATATTTATTTCTTTGATTATATTTTACCAAATACTTAAGGCTTATTCTGCAACATTAGATTGAATATTTTGAGATTTAATTTTACCCACGTCTTCTAATATAGGATCAAGAATTTTTTTAAAACCGTATCATCGATTAATTTGAATGGTCTGCCATTAAAAGTGACCAACTCAATTCAAGCATCGATTATTATTATTTTTTTATTTAATTTTACTGTTAGTTTGTTCTATTAATGCTTCTTCTATCGTCCGTTGGCTTGATGACATCTTATACTTTTTTATTGGCTTTTGTTGTGATATTTTGTTAATTTTATCTAATTCTAGATGGTAGTTTTTTTTTATGTGACGCTCAAGATTTATGATGGTCTCATATTTATTTGACAATCAGTAATATCACATTTTGATGTGTCATTTATAATACTATAAGTAAATTATTTATATATTGGATTTAATTTTCTCTAGGCATTATAATTTATGAACTTAAAATATTTAAAAAATGCTATAAAATGGCAATATACTAAAGTTTATAAAAATTATGACGGACACTTATCGATCAAGTGTGATTGATAATATAATTATAATTTTTGCAATATACTAATAACTTACATATTATTTTATAGGTATATTCATGAGGCTCGAACCGGTTCAAAGGCATTTTAGTGGTCCGGTTCAAATTAGGCTTGAAATTATTTTAGCGGTTTAGGTTCGATAAAAAAACCAGTTTTTAACGGTTCAGGTTCGGTTTGGATTCCTGGTAAAAATACATTTAAAAAAACCAAACCAACTTATAATTTTTTTAAACATTTAGCAGGTAGGTTTAACAATTTAAAATAAAATAAGCAGACGGTCTGGTAAACTTTTGAAAAAAAAACCATGGCGGGCGAGTTAATTCTTTTAAACAATGGGTGCATTTGGATTAAAAACCCGCCCCGGACTTTTAATATGGACGATATAAGCTATACATTTTTTTAAAAAAATAATGTTTACAAAAGAATTAAGACGGTTATATATATATACACAGATTGCAATTGACTAATTCTCTTGCCCGCTATTTGTTTTGGTTTTATTTATTTTAATGCATATATTTTTTAAGCTGTTAAAATGTGCATTACTATGGACTAGTGTTGAGCCCGATTCGAGTCTATTTTAAAAAACGACCCGATTGATTATAACCAAAATAACTTTAAGTATGCTTAAAGATTTTGCTCATAGCTGGCAGAAATGCTTAGACATCTATTTGCCAAATCTCAATATGAATTTAGCTAAAATCTTAATCGGGCTGTTTTGAAAATCGGTTTATTAAACACTATTCGAGCCTAACATATATTTTTTTAAATTGGGCTAGGTATGATATTCAATTTTGTGAAATGAATTGATATAATTTAGGCCAGAGATCTTCATAGGCCAGGTCCAGGCCCGCAGTAAAAAAAATTGGCCCAAGCCCGGCCCATATTTAATGTAAAAAACAATTCCCAAGCCCATAATAAGTTTCACAAAAATTTCCCAAGCCCATATACAAAAATTTAATTTTTTTTTTATTCAATTAAGATTAACAATATTTAAATATATTTAGGCAATCATTTTGACACTACTGAAATTTATTATTAGAAGAAAAAAGGGCAATATTTCATTAAATTAGCAAATTTTTTAAATCTAAATTTAACAATTTTAGGCCCAAGCCCATTAAAAAATTTTAAAAAAACCAGGCCCAGCCCAGACCCGCTTGAAAATGATATTAGGCCCACAGGCCGGCTCATGAAGGTCTCTGGTTCAGGCCGGACAAATTTTTTAAAATAAATTTAGGGCAAGACCGGGCTTGAAAAATAAGGTAGATGTAGATCACTCCTATGAAATAAAAAATAATCTCTTACCCATTCCGCCATTAAAATATTTAAAAATTCCCTGTACGTTTGTGCCCATCTGTAAGAGAATTTTATAGTAAATTTTCGAGCCTCAATTTGGGAAAAATTTTTCTGAAACCCACTTTCTCTTGCAGAAATCTTAGGAAAGAATGGAGTTAAAGGCCTATATAGTTTAGGGCTAATATTTAAAAAATTAGCCGATTTTGATCAATGAGTTAATTTATAATTAATTTTAAAACTGTGAGACTAATTATTTCAAAAAGACGCATTTAAACATACCCGTTCACTAATTGCTTAATTACTATGAAAACACTCGGTAAATCTCTGATACACATTCTAACTCCTAGTATAGATAATAGTAAATATCAGGGTCCATAACACTTAGAATGAAAATTTTTAAAAAATATGGATCAAATCAAAACATTTTTTCTATTCTTACACGTTATATTTTCTTTTTGAAACCATAAATAGATAAAAATTACGAATTAACAAATTTTACGATCCCGAATGCCAATCGTAATTTTTTTAAAGATAATTTCCCCCTCTCCTAAAAATAATTTGGAAAAAATTGTTCATGTAATTATTTTTAAGAAAAACTCTTGTATTTGAATTAGAGACGCGGTGTGCTTGTCGATATAATAGGTTAGAATATTAGTAAATGAGATAATAGGTGGTTTTCGAAATATTTGACGGGTGGGATGATAAGTTTGATACTGGAAAAGAGTAGATATTATCTGCATGGTTTTGTCCAAAAAACATTTCCTATTAATAGGCCAAGGTTAATGTGTGGAAAAATTTTGTTAGTTCTACCTATTATTATGCCATTAAAATTTTGGGACGTCAAATCCACCAAGTTTTTTATAACGGTACCTATCCAGGGTTAGGCGGCTGGTAACAACACTTACAAAAATAAGAGCATGTGGAGATAATTTTTTATAAATCATGGGAATTAGCCTGTTACACACTTCTAGACGATAATTTAAATCTTTTATATTTTGGATGAACTTTTAAAATTCTTAGACCAGACTCAGACCTAAGCAAAAAATGGTAAATTATTTTGTTTTCATGATGCTTCTACAAGTTTCATTTTTCTAGACAAAATAATATTATAAAAACAATTTAATCATCATTTTTTTCGTTTTCCGTCAAGAAATAGATGTAAAATTTTTAATAATTTTGTTTGTGTGATTGATTGGATTAAAATGTATTTTAAGTAGGACCTTCAAAAAATAATCCTGGCAGGTTGAATAAATATCATTCTAAGACCTGACTGGACCTTAAAAAAATAATTGGAATAACATTAATTTCTATATTGGAATTTGTTTCTCTTTGAATAGTAAATAAGTAAGTGAATATGAATGATTATTATTTTAAAAGGTGAAATAAAATTTTTATATTTATTCGTAAAATTTTTTATTGATTTTTTTTATAATGCATAAATATCGACTTAGAGTAACTAATTATCAAAAAAAGCCAATATAAAATTCAATCCACCGTACCATCATGAGCTAACAAGCCGGGATTGACTTCCCAAAAATCATCATTTATCAAATCAACGTGCAGAGCCAAAAACCCTTTGGTAATATCTTGTCCCGTATTATTTGCTTCAGAATTTTTCTTTTTATTTCTAATATCAAATGTATCCATGGCTTCGTGGGCGTTGCTATCGCTACCATCAAACTGTGCATAATAGTCGAAACGTTTATTACGCCCAGCTCCCTTAAACCTCTCCCAGATTCCTCCCTTGCCTATATTAGCTAAGTAAGATTGGCTGAGATCGGAAGCGCGAACTATAAGGGAACCTTTCCTATACATCTGAGGCTCATCATTATAGTTTATACCAAAACGAGAAAACATCAATTCGTGCTTGTCCGATGATAAGCTTCCTTCCAAAATTTCTTGTGCCTGGGTGTTTGAACAATTTCCTCGCTGAACTAAAGCCCAAAAAGCTGTATTGTAGAGGTTATTAATGTGGCAATCCACTTGTCTCCAACTTATGTAATCTCTTAGGTTATGATCGGTAGGATAAAGAACTACTCTTCCGTCGAAAGCGGGTAACATGCATTCAGTTGTTTGAGAGGGGGAACTTAATGAACTTGATAATATGGGAGCATCCTTTGGGCTAGAAATAGTTAAATCTCTGGGCATGAATCGGGGCCAGTATAGAACATAAGCAGAGGTAAATAGACTTACTATATGAGTAAGTATTTTGGAAGTCCGACGAGAGGCGTAACGAGTGGTGGAGGGTAAGAAAAAACTAAACTCATCGCTTTGACCATAAGCCATCTTGACATCGCCTACCAATTCCATCACAGCAATGGCTGCACGATTCATGAGCTTAAGGGCTCGAGAATCATTCGGTTTGGCGAAGGAGTGGATGTCAGAAAATTTGTGAAAGCTTTTTCCGTCTATCCGACAAACGATGTGACAGTTAGGCAACAGCCGGTCCTCGAGTTCAAAGGCACGAACGTAGTCATACTTTTTGTTGTAGAAAGAGTTTGTGCTAATAAGAGTGTTAGCTGAAAAATGGGATGATAATGATGTAATGTTTATGACTTGTTTAGGAGGTCTTATGTCTTTTTTGCAAGCAATTTGAGTTATTGGGGATCTATCATTGAATTCAGGTTCAAGCAAGCTTGTTTCTTTTTGTATTAAGGGAGAGGAATTCGTTTCGATAGTGTTAAAATCGGCAAAAAATGAGTTAGATGAAGGTGGAGAGCGCATACGAAACAAATGCTTAATAAGGCCAATTTTCAATTCTAATTGGGAAAATATTGCAGATATCAATAAATTATGGTAGATGATATTAATCTTGAAGTGTAGGGTTATATAATTGTTCAATAAAATATATGTTTGATAATTTAAAAAAAAGATAATTATGTGAATTTTTGTTGTTGAAATATTATTATTCTTTATCAGATGTTTGTGATGGGCCAAGTTTGCTCTCTAATTTTTCAGAAATAAATTGTAAATCTTTTTCAATGGAAATAGACCAATTTTCTATATCACCAATTTCCTACAAAAAAAATAATTACAAAACAAAAGTTTAAAAAATAAAAAATACTTTTAAAGATTTGTGAAAATTTTCCATTAAGCTAAGCCATTGATTGGTATTTTTAATATATTGATTTATTTGGATTTGTAATTTCTTTGAGGCATTTTCAATTTGTTTTTGGTTTATATATGCACGTGCTACACTAAATATTAGTAAAAAAAAATGATTTTAATTTAAATAGATCGGCCCATACAGGTTTTTCACAGATATTTTAAAATTTCAGGCAACGCAGGGTTGGGTTTAAATTTTTAAATATTATATTATTACATTTTGTCAAATAAATTGATATATTTTAAAATTCTTTCAAGAAACTAGGTGCTAATATTTTTTATTTGTAGAATATTTTACAATCATAAAATTAATTTTTATATAAATAAATTCGAGCAGGGCTTGGTGGACAAATAATTTTCATTTTGAGTGGGGCTTTTTGAAACAAATAAAAAAAAAATTTCCAGGCTGGTATTGAAAAATTAGTGTATAAATTTTGGAAATGAATGGGGGAGGGGGTTGGTGATAAATTTTTTTTAGTTGATTTACAAGAATTAGGAAATTTTCTAGGTAAACATCTACTGCAGAGCCAGTGGTAACATCTTCAATAAATATAGGGCCATGATTAAATATAAAATTAAAGTTTTTAAAAAAATTAGGTAAGGACTATTTACTATTCATTTTAATATCCTATTCTCTAAGGCTGTATAGATATTTTTGCATAAGCATTTTGGAATATGAATATAACCCAAAATTATTTAAAGTAAGTATTTAAAAATTTTTCAAAATTGTATCAGTTTTTTTGATCCAAAACATAGGCATATTTTATTTGCCTCTACAGCCCTTCCTTAATATATTTTCATTTGATAACATATTTTTAAGTGTAATTAAATTTCCAAGAAATATCTCTCAATTTTATGCCAATTTTAAAATATGCATATATATATATTTATATAACAAGGCCATTTTTATATCTGAAAAAAAATTGGTGAAGTCAAGCCCAATTATTTTTTATAAACAATTATCAAAGTTAATAACAAATATTTTAAGTCTATGCATAACAAAGTAAAGAATAAAATAACTTTTATGAGTTCTATATTTCTACCCTGTAAGGGTATTTAAAAATTTAGGCATCAGGCATATTCAAAAATTTATAATTTTGCAGCTCTCTATAAACCTGTCCCTTCCCATTTATGCCAATATTAAAAAAACTAGAATTAATGACCTGATGGACACACTTATTAATAGGTATCAAGAAAAAGTATTTTAGTCTACTGTATATTTTTATGGCAACCCTATATGTTTAAATTCAATGATAATTTAGCATGTCGGTTTTTATAAAAGTAAAAACATTATCTATTAATTAGGTTTATTATAAAATTAAAATAGGGCTATTTATAAATAAATAATTACCTTTCATTAACATTATCTACAATTGTGGAAACTAAATTTTTAGAAGCTTCTATGGCTTCAAGTTTTTTCTTGTCTATCATTTATAAACAAATATATATATCTAAAATAAATGCAATCTTACTACAATCTTCTTTATACTTATGAATTTCATTTTGATGTTCTTTTAGCAAATTAGATAACATTTACAGGTTTTCTTCACTACCATATGCAAAGTTAATCATATGTCATCGGTCACAGTCACGACATCTCAAAGATTGACATACAAAAAAAGAATGATATAAATAAATATATCTCCGCCACAGTTGGTGTCCCAGTGAAAAATAATTATTGGAGTCCTCTCTCGTTTCTATTACTAACAGAGAAGACACCATAGATTGTAAGATCATCAAGCATTGAAGATTATATAAATATTTTTTAGATATTTTGTAAATTGAAAGAAAAGTAAGATCTGCTAATTCTTTTTGAGGTTTCATATAAGTTTTTGTTTTATAAATCGTAATAATAAAATGTATAATCTTATTTACTAAATTACAAGAGTTATATATATTTTATAAAAGTATGGACTTTGGTATAAAACAAGTTTGTCTAAATTTTTTCGCATTTAACAATTTTAAAGAAATGAAATTTTGTTAATATTCAAAAATAAAAATAAAATACTTTTCTTAAGTATATATAAATGTTTTTTCTTGTTTGTATTTTTTTTAAAAAGTATTGTAATTATCAACAAATTAATAAATAAATAAATTCTTGAAAAAAATCTTATTTGGTAAAGATGGGGTTGGCGTTTGAGTTCAGTAAATTTCGAAGATTATAAGGGTTCGGTCTTAAACCCTGATTTTAACAACCAGGTTATCTATCTCTAAATGAGAATATTGTCGCAATTAGTAAGATTTTACAATAGTGTTCACTAGGGCTGGGAACCAATATTAAAAACCCAATATAAACAAAATATTGTATAGGTATTGGTTTAAACAATATTTTCTATTTCTTGTATTGGTATTGCTATTGGTATTGGTTTATATTGGTATATATTGGTTTATATTGGTATTGGTTTAAATTCAGATTACTAATTAAAAGAATAGAAATAGTGATTATAAAACTCTTAATTTCTAGTTTTAAATAAACATGGAAAAAAAAATCATGAAGCATTACCATAAAAACAAGGCTAAGAACCAACTCCCAAAATTTTACTAAATCCAAATTCTTTTTTTTAAACTAATATATTTTTGAAATCAACAAACCAATCAAATAATAAACGTATATTTTGAAACTTTTTATTTAGCACAAAGAATATAGCAAAATGAATACACTAAAAATGTAACATAATTGTCTATTTATATAAAATATAGTGCAAAAGATTGTAATATAAAGAAAAAAATTTATGTATTTAAGAAGAATCCTTCATGCGCATCCAACTTTTTAAGCACATGCAAGCTTGGATAGTATGCTCAGCTAGTGAACAACGTTGATCTGTTATAAGATACCTTTCTTCTGAAAAAGCCCTTTCAGAGCTAGATGAAGAAGCTGGAATTGCAAGATAATCTCTGGCAATTTTTGATAATATTGGATATCTATTTTTATTTAATTTCCACCAGTCTAATGGATTTGTATCATTATAAATTGTGGCTTCATCCACATATTTGCTTATTTTTAAGTTATTATTGTTGTGACTAGGTTTAACCTGATATATTTTGTCAAAAAAGGATAATTTTTTGTTATTTTGTGTTTCATTTGTAGGTTCAGCTGAATTGTAATTATTTGTTTTATAAATATTATATTCATTGGTTAGACATCCAATAAGAGTTTCTATAATATTATGCTTTAATAAGTGACTTGATAGTTTGGGTCAATCATTGTTGAAATAATATATAGGTGTTTATTAAAATTATAGTATTTATTAAGTTTTGTCAAGACAGCTAATGAAGCTGTCTTTAAAATAGCATTAGGATTATTATCATAACTCTCAACGTGCTCAAAAATACTGGAATATAAAAGAATGATTGTTGAAACTGATGGAGTATTAGCACATGAGGCCATCTCTGTAGCAAAATTAAATGGTTCTAAAAATTCTCGGTATATTTCAATATTATTCCAAGCTAAGGCACTAATATAATATTCTTCATTAGTATTTTGTTGATGATTGGTATATATTGTGAGATAAGGTTTGAGCAATATAGCCCTTTCGAGCATTTGGTACGTTGAATTCCAACGTGTTGGTATATCCAAAATAGGGTGAGGAAATTTTAAATTTGGATTTTTTTCAAGATATGTTTTTTCAAGTTTATTAAATTTAGATATAAAAAGTTTAAAAATTTTTAAAAAATTTCTTATTTTTTTTAAAGTTGGATTTATAGGTTCCAATGCAGCCATGACAGATAAATGGATAATATGGCAAAAACATTTGCACACATTATCAAAATTGTCTTTTAGTTTTAAAATTTTTAAAAATGCTAAATTATTACTAGCATTATCTAATGTAATACAAAAAAAATCAATTTCAAATTTTACTTTTAATACAGAATTAAAAATATTATAAATATTAATAGCATTATGTGCTGATTTAAAAGGAATAAAATCTAATAAATGATTAATTAATTTAAAATCATTATCAATATAATGAATGGTTATGCCCATAAAGGGTATTTTATTTGGAGAGGACCAAATGTCCATTGTTAAAGAAAATTTAGAAGTAATTTTAGAAAGTACAGATTTTAAATTGATAAAAGAACTATGATAATGTTTCATAATTTCTTTTTTGAGTGTTTTTCTAGAAATTAATGTTAATGAGGGGTTGCAAAAGCTTATTAAATTTTTAAATGACTCATTTTCAACCATTGAAAAGGCTAAATTATTTTGAATAAAAAAGTCCATAATTAAATTATTTAAATTAGCTTTATTATTTACATTATTAATTAAAAATGATTTTATGGTGTTAATTTTTTTACTGCCATTATTTATTTGTTCACATTTCTTATATAAAGTTGGGTGGATGGATTTAAGATGTGTCCATAATCCTGAGGTTCCAAAATTGGGAATAGATAATTCTTTTTTACATTTATTACAAATAGCCTTTTTTTTGTTATCACAACTAGTATAAAATTCCCAGATTTTTGCTGTATTTCGTCTTTTATTAGATATCGTTGATTCTTCTTGTTCATTATCGCTATTATTATTAGTATCAACATCATTATCTATATTTATTAACTCGATTTGGTTTTCATTCATTATAATATCCTAAATGAATTAATAGATAAAATTGATAGATATCATATAGAAAACTTACTTCCATAATAAAAATAAACTATAATTATAAATAACACCAATATTGATATCACAGGAATATTTGGAAGAAATAACAGATGTAATATGTTTATGAATGAAAGTAAAAAAATATACCACGATATAATTATCCACGATAAAACCAAATAATTTTATGTATTTATCTATTTTAAATTTTTAATATTGGTATTAGTATTGGTTAAAATTGTATTTAAACAATATTTCAAAACCAATATATTTAGGTAATTGGTATTGGTTGTAAAAACAATACCAATATTTAATTATATATTGGTTTATATTGGTATTGTAAACCAATATTATATTGGTATTGGTCCCACCCCTAGTGTTCACTATATTCGATAAGGTTTAATATTAATTTTGTTCACACACCAAGTTATTATATATGAGTTCAATTAACAGAAATAAAAATAAGGAAAAAAGAAACGAATTATATCTAATAAAAAATATTAATCTAAAATTTCTAGCTATATGATAAAATATTATTTATAATAAACTTTATATAATATCATTTTATTTGACTTATTTACTATCATTAAAAGAAGAATAAATATGCATTTTTTTAAATAATAAAAAAGTATAAATCACAAAATATTTTATGCGAATTTGAAACATTTAGTATTGGGTAAAATATATAGGCTAAATGTAACTCTATATAAATATTATTTATATAAAATCTTAATGTTTAAAATAAAACTAATAGGATTATAGCTTAATTTCTATGATCTATACCAAAAGTATATTTTACTAAATGGACCTCTTTTATTCCAGTGGTCGATTATCCTTATCTTGACAAAAATGAAGTCAACATTTTCGTACTCAGAAAAATCGAGCTCCAAAGAATTAATTAGAATATCGTTTTTAACTTCATAAACTGTCCATGATTTATTATGGCCCTTCATAAATGAATAGTGTATTTCGAAAGTTTTTAAACACGCAATTTTATTTTTATCCTCGTTATCGTATATCAAAAGATCCCATTTAAGAAGGAAAAAGAGCGATAATATAGGTTGAATGAAAATGTTGAACGGAACAATTGTATTGATTCTCCTAAATAACGGATTATAAAAGCAAACATGATAAAGAACTAGACCAGGGCAAGAATATCCTTCTGTTATGGTTAGATTTTTAAATATATAACGAAAAATTGAAGAAGAAATCTCTATATAATTATTTTCTTGTAACAATAATTTAGATAAGGATACTTTTTTTGTAACCAGTTTTATCCTCCGATGACCTTCCACTTTTCTTAATTCCGTGATTTGCTCATGACTAAGTACAGTTGGTCTCTGCATTTGCATCCAGGTTGAATAAGGGTTAGTTAAATTATCATTCACTACATAAATGGCTAGAGAAACATATAAAACGAGTTTTACTTGTGGTAGTATATACTCTCTAATGAATGGTAATTTATTTGAAGGTGTGTAACTCAATGCATTTGTGAGAATAGTGGACAAAATATGAAAAGGTTCATTTTGAAGGTAAACGTTGATAACGTCATGTTTTAAACAACCGTATAACAAGGCAATTTGAAATAAGATATTTTGTGATTGATTAGATTCATCAGAAACAAGGTAAACTGATATTGTTGGGAGAATAAAAAAATCATCCTTTTCATCTAACCTCGTAGCATGTTTTTTAAAGGAATAATTATAATTGATCATTTCAACTTCATTCAGATGTATGCCGTGAGATATTGCGTCCCATCCATGATTTAATGAGAAAGCGCTATTTGCACTTTCTGATATGGGTGGACTAAAGAATATAGTATTACCCAAATAAGATAACAAACAAAATGCTCCGTAAACTGGTTTCTTAATGAAAACTGGCATCGATATATTATTGCGAGAAATCTGATATTGGGCTATAAATCCAGCTAAGAGAGTTCTTTGTTCGAAATAAAATGGAGGCTGATTCAAGAAAGCGTTATCATTACTCAATAGTAAAAAATTTTTGAATGGTCCTCCATTTAATTTGGATTCTATAATCGCGATTATATGATCGTGGATGATCTAAGAAATATATTTTATTTATTACAACAAAAAAAAACATTGTAAGTAGAACATGTAAAAATTGAGTGATTATAACCAGGGTTACCAGATCTCCCACCCTTGGCGTAATTTCACGATTTTTTTTACTTTAGTTTACGCCCACGCCGTCTATTTATTTAAGCTTTCTCCCGTTTTTTACGCTTTTATCTCGATTTTCCTAAAAAAAATTAAATATTAAAAATAGCTCAACCACAAATTTACGCTACCATTTTTTATTTTACTTCAATCATACATTTTAAAAGGTATTTTGTTTTTGTTTATTTCATCCATATTTGAGATTGGAAAAAACAAAGAATTCTAAAAAAAAATAATAATATTATTTTCTATCTTCAATTTAAAATATATTAATATTTAATATCATTTAATTTTAAAATAAATTGCTATGATAAATCATATAATATTTACTTCCTTTGATTGTGATTCTAATTATAAAAATTATTCATATGTAAATGTGTAGTAAATATTTTGTATATTTTAGAAATCAATCTAAATAAAATAATATTTTATAAATAAGCAATTTATTATTTAATTTTAACAGTTTTATATAGCCTAATAATATTTTTTGATTAATTAAATAAAGTTTACTCTATTTCATTTTTTTTCAATTTTATTCCATTAATTTAAATTATATATAAATTACATTTTAAAGGCAGTTAACATCCAAAAAAAATGTAAATCGCAATATCAAAATAACTTGAATTCCATTTATCCATATATCAGAGAAGATAAAGAAGGTGGCTTTAATGCAATTTGTATAGTATGCAATAATCAGCTATGGATGAGTCCATGATGTAAAAAAGTATTTAACAAGGCAAAAACATATTTCTAATTTAAAAAATAAGGAATCATCAAATAGTATTCAACCATAATCCAAAAACAGTAATTTATGTGATGATAATACTGCAATAATCGAAGCGACAATTCATTTATCACAGGATAAAACATTCGCTTAGTTATTTATCTACCGATTGCGCTACAAACTTGCCCATACTATTTCCTGATTCAAAAATAGCTAAAAATATAAAATGTAGCAGAACAAAAACTTCAAAAATAGTTTTAAATACCCAAGGTCCTGAAACTAAAAAACACATCTTAGAGAATTTGAAGAATAATCATCCATTTTCTCTATTAACTGGTGCATTAAATAATGGAAATACTAAAACATTCCCAATAATGCTGTGATATTTTAATAAAAAAAGAGATATATCGAAAAATTTTCAACGGACTTGGAAATATCCAAGGATATTTTGTCTTTGCTGGTGCAGAGCCTTGAAAAATGTAACCTTTCACTATCAAATAAAACAACATTTTGTGCCGATAACTCAAGTAAAAATTTTGGAAAAAAACAAAGTGTAATGACTGAATTATTAGTTTTGAATTAAAATATTATCCCAATTGGTTGCCCGTGCCATATAATTCACAATGTAGGAAGAAAGGGGCTTGCTTCATTATAAATAGATATAGAAATAATTGCTATGAAATGTTATGCCTAATTCAGCAGATCCATAAACAAGGTACTGTTTTAAACAAAATTATGGGTATTTTTTGAAATGTGCTGGCCTAGGCTTATTTAAGTCTAAGACAAAATATTATAAAATGTGATAATCATGATAAAGTCATATCGTAATTGTGAAAAGCGCTATTTCAAAAAAAATCTATAATTAATGTGTTAATTTTATATTTGTTTTAATGAAGTTATATTCTAAAAAATATTTAATTTTAATTATCAAATTTATTTTTCTGCAAAATCATTTCCTGCATTTTACTTAAAAATTTTTTTTTAATAAATTGTTATATTTGTTATTTTTTTTACAATTATGAACTTCCCTATAAAAAGGTGAGCTAATTGATATGGTAAATTCATTATATCTTTTTAAATTGAAATTATTGTACGTTTTTATGTAGATGTCCATTTTAAATAAGTGACAACCAATTGTTTTATATTATTATATATTTCCTCCGCTTATTCTTTTTAATTCTTTTTTTTTATAAATTTTTAAAAACTTTTATTATTATTCCTAATGTTTTTTCTATCAAGTTTTCCTCATTCTTTATATATATTTTTTCTTTCTTTTAAAATAATTTATTTACATTATTTTCAATAATCTTGTTTTTTAATATAATTTTGATTATTTATTCTATCCACGTCATTTTTAAATATTTTCCTGCTAACTATGACGTGGGATACGTCGCGATGTAACAGCTGATTAGTGTTGTTAAACATCTCAATTTTTATAAGCTAACACAATATTTTCGCTAAAAAATAGTATGCAATCTGGAGATTTTGCTCATAGATGGCAGAAAGGTTTGATAAACAGTTTCAAAAATAAGTTGAACCAGGACACAGCCTAAATAAAAATAAAATTTAATTATTAATAAAGAAAAATTGATCTTATTAAAATAAAGCGATCAGATGGTTTCATAATAACAAAATGTAGCATAAAGCAGTGATGTCACGCTATATTTTGTTAAATGATAATATGCGGTGAGGCCAAATTTATATCATGCAGGAAAATAGAGCAATATGGCCCTCTTCGTGATTGATTAATTAATTTTAATATCTATTCGATATGAATAACGTTATTTTTCCGCTTTCTTGTGGATTTCAACCGCCCGTTAAACCGGTATTATTTATTGAACCTAAACGGTAAAAAAATTTTCACCCGAACCATGAATGTTAACTTTATCTGAACATAAATCTGAACCGATTAGTTACGGTTTAGATCCCTGGCTATTATAAATTTCTAAGACTCATTGTCAGTTTATTACAACTGTCCTCAATTTCGTTTTCTGATCGTAAATGATATCTTTAATCCAAGAATCATTTCAAATGCCAATCTATAAAAACGGTATATCATACGCCAGTCAACATAACACTAGAAAAAATGCTAAACACAGTTCCTAACCCAAAGAAATATCACAATATGGTACACGATGCCATCACGTGGCTTTACACATATAAAGGGAATCAGTGCACATGCACAAGTACAAATCGCTGTGGTACTACAAAACCATTAAAGATGTGATGGAATTTTATCAAACTAAACAACTGCAAAAGACATCATCAGAGGGCAAAACGCTATATATCCCATATATATTATCGATAATCAACATACTTTAGCCATTGTGTAAGCATAATAACAAGTAGCCCTCCATATTTGTGGTCTCCACCATCCAATTAAAAGATCTCCTTCATCATTATAAAGAGGTAGCGATAGTTTTGGATAATGGATTTGGCGATAATTTATAAAATCCATCTCTTCCATTATTATGCTTGATATTGATAAATTCAGCCCTTAAAATGGTTCTACAAAATATTAATTTTGAATTACCTTTTTTATGAATAGAGATAAAATGTATAAAGTTGTCAGATTTATTGAAGGAATAAATATGGTCCATAAATGCCCAACATAATGGCGATTTAGGGGGTAAATGACATGATGTTGCAGGTCCTCCTAGCTCTAAATTATATTCTCTAAACTGTCTCAAACTATAAATACATAGATCAACATAATGAAGATAGCCTTAATTTATAATTTGTATAAAATTATTTTGTAAAATGTTTACTATTAATGGTAAAATTTAGTATATTATATTCTGAATGATCTGGCTCATTCCATAATTCAAATTTCCATTTTTTTATATAAGTTAATCCAAACCTATGTATAATCCTTGAAATTGTTTGTGTAATAAGTGAGATAAATAGTTTTGATTGCTTTGTGTCATATAAGTCATTAAAAATATTGGATGGGTTTCCCATTATTTCAAAAATCAAATAAAAATCTATTATATTTTAGCATTGCAATTTTACAAGATACCTAGTTGATAAATTTTGTCCATAAATTTATCAAAATTTGAATAATTAAATGAGTCTTTGTCATAATATATAAGGTCTAGCAACCAATGAATCCTTATATAATTAATTCCATTGTTTGGAACACTCTTAATATATATCATATTTAAAATGTTTTCAGGAATAAGCAAATTATTATCATGAGGTATATTAGGACTATATCCCGTACTTTTCCATATTTCTGGCAATGGATACAAAGATAAACTGATACTTTGGAAACTTATAAAGAGTATTAAAATTAGTAAAATCAAGTAAAGACTCATGTTGTAAACAGGGTAATGATACATGGCGTCGAACGTTGTTTTAATAAAAATTTTAGAAATAGTTGCCGATTACGCTGAAAATGTCGCCGTTTAAGAAAATCACGCCGGCGCGCCGCCGATTTTCTTGTCGGCGGCGCAGGGCCGCAGAAATTTCTTTCATATTTTATACCTTTTTATTCTAATAATTGGTCAACATCACTCTTGTAATTTTTTAATGTCAATCAGAATTTTGATGAATTTTTATTTTCTACTATTTTAAAATCATAATTATATTGACTCATTATAGAATTCAACCAATCAAAAATCTAAAATTCCAAAAGTTACCATAATTTTACATATTTTTAAAATGGATGTATCTATATTTAATAATTCTATAAATAATTTTAGTATCCTAACTCTGGATAATATAAAATCCATAGTCTGCAAATTTTTTGCAAAAGAATAAGAGAAATTATCACTGTTCTAAGATATAAAACTGCAGAAGTTGAATTTGAATTCGAGGAATATCAAAGAAAATGTCTAAGTACATTAGATTTAACATCAGACATGTTAGATCTTGACAGCATTGATCCATACTCGAGTACCCGGTTTTAAATTGGCAATTCCAATGATAATAATAACAATAATTCCACGTATATGAAAACCTTAAAATTCAATGTCCCAAGCCCAACACGTTGGCATAAAATATTAATTATGCTAGAAAGCATATCAGGATTAAATAAGGATTTAATTAATAATGTTTTGAAAAGAATTGGAAAGCACTTTCTCAAATTATCTGATCTGGTAGAAGAACTATTAGCATTTCTTTCAAAATTTAAAGAAACTGTAGAATTTCTTTCAGTACAAAAAGGGCCTACTTTAAACTTGGCGTTACCTTTTAGTAGTGAAATTGAAACACATTTAATAGTAAATGATAGTGATATTCTGAAATTATTTCACTTAAGGAAAATATACTAAAAAAACTTGCGCTACGATTTCCGGTTTGTAATATGCAAATATATTATATAAGTATATTCTTTTATTTTTTATTTAAAATTATCTAGGTATTGGCTTTTCTTTTAGATCATCCAAGATTTCAAAAATTGACAATTGTGTCATAGTATTTAATAGAGCAAAATTGCTCAGCTTCAGAATTTATAATAAAAACTTATAAAGAATGATGATAATCAAGTAGTAAACATAGCTAATGAGGTTGAAGATGAATTATTAAATTCAAGTTATTTGACAAAATTGGCAAATAAACATTCAACAAATATAAATTATGATTCCAAGTTAGGTGACTTAGAACAAGAATGTCACAGTTTTCTTGGAAAACGACATTCACAAGATATGGACGTTCTAAATTTTTGGAGAGAAAAGAAGAGTGAACTTCCTAATCTTTCCAGGCTCGCCAAAAAAATTATTTGCATTCCGGCCACCAGTACACCTAGTGAAAGAGTTTTCTCTACCGCTGGATTGACGTTAAATTCAAGGAGATCATCATTATGTCCCGAAAATTTAAATAAAATAATTTATATACAAGATATTATAAAATTACGAAATCGATTTTGGATATAATAAGTTTTCTATTAAATGAATATTAAAAAATATGCCGAGATATCTGTAGAATAGTGTATATTTTTATTTGTTTTTTTTAAAAAAATGAATAAGCAATTAAAAAAATTTATGTTATAAAAATTTATACTGCGCCGATTTTATTGACGGCGGCTAAAAATCGGGGCGCCACCAGCCATCGATTAGATTTTTGAAAATTGTGCCGGCCGCCGATATTTTTGTCGGCGCACAGGTCTAGAAATAGTAAAATATCTTAAAAATTTCATTTATAAATTTATTTTTTCTTCAGTTCTTACTATAATTTTTTTTTGGATTTTTTTTTTATATGCAAGTGAACGCTACAAATGCAAATAATAGAATATCAAGGTTAAAATGATTTACCGAATTTTTTTAGCCATGAAATCGAACTAGAATATAAAAATTAAACATCTTATTTTACCAGAATTTAAATAATATATATTAAATTTTTTCTTTAAGGATAAATCGAATTAAAATTTATATGAAGATTAAATCTCTAAATATCGATAGTAATCATTTAAGACTTACACCAAAGGGAATTGAAACCTAAATCAGCCACCCCCCCCCCTTCACCCTTAAAGTAATTAAATTATACTGAAGAAGTTATCAGGTAGAGGCTTTTGGTTTGCCCTCCTCTTCTTTTCTTAGCCTATGGACGTTTAAATAACAGTTCTTGAACTGTTTTGCATATAAGTAGGTGCGGCTTTTCAGCAAACGTGTAGAAGGCTCCTCATTTTAAATTCATCCAACTTAATTTAATTCAGTTAGAAATGAGGAATACCTAACATGGCACTATTGTACCTTCAATCGTAATATATAATTTGGGGTTCGGTTTTCCAGTGTAAAAAATAAAGAGGATTTCAATGAAATAGTAAAGATTAAGGTTGCATTCAAAGTGGAGATGGATCCGTTTTTTACATCCGTTGCTTCAAAAGTCAACCTCATAAAATGATATATATATTTTCATTTTTAAAAAATTATAAGTAACGTTATAATGCTCTATAAAATTTGCTGGATCAAAAAGTGAAAATGTTTTGACTTCAAAATTTGCCCGTTTTTAAGACGGAAGGTATCGGAACGTAAGCACTATGAACATATATACCATTTTTAAGGAGATTGACTTTTGACGGAACGGATGTAAAAAACGGATCCATATTTCCACTTTGAATGCAGCCCAAGAAGTTATTAATTATTTATTTAATTATGTTTTAGATAGTTAACACGACTAAATTTATTCATAATGCTAACGGAACCAACGGAATTTTCTTATTTAATATAATCATTTGAATTAAAATCAGTCCTTCCCCTACCCAATAAAGTAAATATATCACAAACTTGTAAAGGGCTCTTCATTTACAATTTGTTCACCCCACTTAATTTATTCGAGTTAAATGGAGATGAGGAATACCTAAAGCAGCTCTGTTGAACTACAACGGTAGAGGGTAAAAGCGTTATAAAACCCACACATGATTTTCTAATGGGAGTGTATGGTAGAGACCTCTATTGTAAGAGTAAATTTCTACCTCGGTTCGTATCAAGGGGTACTAGTTAACTAAGATATTCCCACCTCCAATTTACAACGATTTTAAATTTTATTTAATAAACTTTCATTTGAATTTTTTTTATCTTAAATTGCTTGGAATATATTAATTAATAGAATCCTATAGTTTTTTTTGGTATAGATTTAAAAACTAATCGCATAAGACGCGAATTGGCACATTTTTACACCCTGAGAAGGTGCAAGACGATAAAATCCGACTTTGAATCATAATTTCTTCCAACATATTTTGGGATTGGTCTACTTTTTTAATGATAAAAATCTGGATCCCCAATTTGACCAGCAGTAATTTAAGTCTTTAATGCTGCAAACATTTTCTTGCTTGTTTTAGTATCTTTAACCCGCATTTCTTTAACTATTCTAGACTTGTCACATAATGATTTGCAATCACTCATTTATTTTTTCATATTTCTAGCTATTTTTATTGATTACCACGAGGAAAGCAAAAATAAACTGGGTCGGTCAGATTTAAATAATAAAATGCAACTAAAAAGAATTCATTAGTAAAATTCTGAAAGACATAATTAGATTTTAAAAAAATTATAAAACACTCAAAAATGGTTAGAAAAAATATATAATGTATGAAGGTTTAAAAAAAAGTTAAATTTAATTTATAAATATAATAAGCGGAAAAATTTCAAAAATAGAAGGAAATGAGAGAAAAAGCTAAAAAATGATTAAAACGGGTTAAAAATGTATATTAGATAAAAAGTGGGAAAAATTACGTTAATTATTTTTTTAAATAGTAAAGTACTTAAAAATGAGTAGAAAAAAAAATACAATTTCCTCGTTTTGCAATGGCTTCGTTATGTTTTCTCATCGTTTTGTCAACAAAATCAAGCAAACAGAATGATTAGCCAAACGAAACAAAATCAAACCTTAGGTCTGGTGCGACTTGATAAGCCAATAAAAGTCCGCAATACTCCTCTAAACTTCCGGGCTCAGATTGCGTGGCATAAACCCGTAACATTATAGATACAATTCAATTCAATGCAAAAAATAATTCCCTATCTATCGAGATTCGATCCGTTCGTTTAAGCTTAAAATCAAAGGTTCAACTTTAATAACTGTACACATGTAAATATGATGTTAGATAAATGAATATAAATATCTTTTCAATACAAATTATAATATTATATTATAAGTTTTAAATATTAAATTAAATGTCATCCAATTATTTAATATAAATAATAATAATAAATATAGTTATATTTATATATATAAAAAAAATTATTCAAAAAAAAACTTATCATTTTATAAAATTAAATAAATGAAAATCTATGTGCATATTATATTTTCGAAATATTATTTATATGCATTTTTTTCAAAAAAATAGCAATTTAATAATGATTGAATATAAATTTTCTAGTTTATATTTAGCAAATGAAATAAAAATAATTAAATTGACGATTTATAGCAATAACTTAAAACTAAAAATTGCACTATTTATAAATAATATTTTTTTTAAAGATATAATATGTTTAAAAATAATAAACGAATTAAAGATACATTTCAAAAAAAGTGATACGTGAGTATATTAAACATTGATGATTAATGTGAGGTTATCTTGTTCACAATTTAAGTCCCATTTCCTAAAAGCAGGTGGATGGATAAAAAATTTGCTTGAAAAGATTTGTCATAAGAAGAAAAAAACCACTCTGAAGATTTATTATTAAGATACCAGTTTAATAATTATATAATTTTCAAATGTAAATTAAAATAAAATTTTGCTAGTAATCGTAATATATAACTCATAATTCCATCAATTTGGTTTCTAAGAGAATATTCAAAAAAAAAGAAGAAAATTCTAAAAATATAATTTAAATATATTGTTATAAACTCATGAAAGTTCAAGGCTAATAAAAGAGAAAGAAAAATTTCAATGTTTCTTTAGGTAATATACGATAAATATCTGGCTTATGGAAAATAAAAGAGTGACAATTAGCACTTCTTTATGACGTTCCCAAAATCTTCTGTATACTGTTTTATGGCCATTAGCATTTGAGATATTTGAAGTCAATAAATTCCGGTTCACGCTGGCATCGTTTTTATTCACCATTCGTTTTTTGATAGAATTTTCGTTATTATCGGTGCCAGATTTCGAAGGATTTGGCGAATCAAAATTTGGGGCTTTAAAAATTCAAAATTTAATTTATTTATTCTCTCTAAATTATAAAAAGTTTATAAAATTAAATCATTTTATTTAAGAAAATTTGGCAAATAGGTAAAAAAATGAAGGGACAAATCACGTGTTCATTTTATAAACTTTGACGTGGTCTAAAAATAGTATATAAGAGATGACTGAGTGCCGCCAATTTCATAATAAATAATGGTAGTCACCATGTTATCTCTAAATTTTATACGCTTACGCGCATTTACAAACAAGTCCTATCAAATATTTTTAAAATTATTTTGTTAATTTTTTATAACCCTTGTAATTATACTATAAATCAGAGTGTCGAACCGAACCTCCAAAACCTTTATAATTAACCTAAACATTTTTGAATTTTTTTTTGAAGAGCTAACTGAAATTTTAAAAGCTTTTATGAACTAGATAAACAGGTTTAAACGGGTTCATATAGGTTTTTATTTTATAAGTAATAATTAATGGAATTTAAAAAATTACATAATTTTTTATTATTTTTATCATTTAATAATGACTAAAAATGTCACACGATTAGTCAAATTTAACCTAGTTTTATAAATTTGAAGAATTTCCGTCTATTCGATCTTCCTTCCTTATCTCGATTTAAATAAACTTTCACTAGGCCTAAGGTGATTTCCAGAATTTCTTTTAAAGCGGTTTCTAGGCCATGTATTCAGCATTTTTTTAAAAAATTAATTTCCAAACTGTCATATCTGTATTTAAATATTGTTAACATAATATCTTATGTTAAAGCATTTTAGTTTTAATATTTCAAAATGATATATAAATTTGAATATTATAAATACTTTTATAACCTTTCAGTATATATATATATGCAATCAATACCTAATTATAAAACAAATATATATATCGCTAGTTCTTGTATTAAAAACACGATAAATAATAATTAGTTAATAGAAATGAATTCAAATGGAAACTTGAAGTTATAAAAGGATACTAATTTGTGGAATTATTATTTTTTTTTGTATAATGTAAAAAAATTAGTCGTTGTCGAATTTAACATAATAGTCAATTATTTTTGTATTATACATTAGTGATCTGCAATGGGCCTAACATTTCAAGCACGGCCAGGCCCGAAATTTTTAAAAAAAAATTTATCCTACCCAGCACGGTTTCGAAATAATTTTTTATTTTGATTTGTCCCGAAAAGCCTGGTCCGAATTTAAAAAATATAATTTATCAGCCAAGCTAGGCCTGGCTCAAATTTATTTAAATTTTTTTTTTTTATTGTAAAAAAAATATTAGCGCCTTCTTGTTTCTTGCAAGAATTTTTAAAATATATCTATTTATCTGACAAAATGAAATATCATATTAAAAAATTTAACTCCAACGTAACGCGACCCGATATTTTTTAAAAAAATATTAGGCCCGATCTAGCCCGAACCGAAATTATTTTTCTCGGGCCGGGATGTTAATTATAAAAAATTAATTCGACAAATAAGCTTTTTGTTTGGAAATAAATTTTAAAAATCTGCTGGAAACATGCTAGAATATCTCTTGGAAAAAATTTACTGTCTGGAAATGGCTCAAGATGTTTATTCTTGTTTTTTAGATTCTTAGAACTTAGTTATCAAAGAATCTTCCTTTTTTTTAAAAAAATTAACCGTTTTTTTTCAGCTTTAATACGCTTTTGTTAAAAAAAAAATTCAATACAGTTTTTATGTAATGTTTTAAATATGTTATTTTTTTAATAAATCATATATTTTTTTTCTGATAGTTAAACACTAAAAAACAGAGCTACAAATATTCTCACCAGGATTTTTAACAGGGGACCTATAATCAATCGAAGCGACATCCTGCTCGGTCAAGAAGTTATCGTTGGAGGTCGAAAAGGTTTTTCGGGAAAATTGTTTCGATGTTCTATAAGCGAGTTTTTCCTTCCCGTTAACATAACTCCTTTCGGTTTGAATAAGAGATAATTTAGGAAGTGGACGTTGTTTGTGCAAGGTTTTGGTGAGTATTTCGAAAGCCTTTTCGTATTGATAAAGATCATTGTGAGGGTCCCATGGTCTGAGACTTTTTTTTTTAATTTTAAAAATGAGTTAATTGGATGTAAAAACGAGACTGCCATTTTAAACAGGTGGAATTTGTTTTTTTAAAAAGTAAAAATTCTTTTAATGCAATTTAATATGCAGTAAATTGTTTAAAAAAAAATCAACGAACATTAACTTAATTTAGGCGTTACCAACTTTTTGTAAATAGTATATAAATATTTATCACCTAATTCATCTTCTAAAATAAAATATGATAATAAACTAGAAATAAAAATTTAAAGAATTCTAAAACAAACGAAATTATATATATAAAAAACAAATTTTCTCCCAATATTTTTTTAAAAGTAAAAATAAACGGTAAGACTAGTAGCTGTGTCCTGGTTCGACTTAATTTAGACATTTAATTGATTTAAAATCTTTTGAGCTAAGACACCCTATTTTGGCTTGTTTTAAGTATATTGTGGCATTGTTATTTTTAGTATTTTATTCGTAATTTCTTTCAAATCGACCTAGGACACTCTAGAAGGTGATAACAAAATAACTTTAACTAATTTTTATTATTTTTGCATAGTTTAATAAAAAAATTAAGGAAATGGTTGAATACATTCCAATCTAAAAATTATCGACGTCCCATTTTCAAAAAAAAAACTGAAAATATTAGTTGTTTTATTTGATTTGGCATTACTCGCAATATTTATAGATCCAATCTCCACGATCATTTCTCTCACCCTCTGTGTTGACATTACCGGCATTAGCTACGTTCTCATCTCTACTATTCTTATTTTCCTTCCCCGATAAATCGTCTTTTAAATTTGTGATATCCTCGAAAAGGTATGGTTGATAAGGAGAGTTTTGGGCATTTAAAATTTTTTCCCTCTGGGCCGTTTCAATCGCGGTTTTGGCGACCGTAGCGGCCTGTTGGTCTTCGTCTAGAAGGGCCTGACTTACCCCTGACCAGAGGAGAGCACTTTCGAAAGGGGATTGATTTTTCAAAGGAACCAAGAACCGAGTTTGGCGAGTGGAAAGAAGAAGCGATATATTGGTGGCGTCCCAAAAAACACTGCGGGAGGACGGTGAGCGGTCCAGCTTTTATAAGGTGATAGAAGAAAGTTGCAAAAATCAGTTTAAGTGATCAATATTGATATTTTTTAAAAAATTATTCAGATTTTATTGAGAAATAATATATATATATATATACCTCATTTTCCATTTCTTTGATAAATATTTTCCCATCCCAATGTCCATCTATCTTAGCCAGAGTATTATTTTCGCCAAACTTAATTCTTCCGGTTATGGCATTCGCAGAATCAGCGCTTCCAAACATTGGCTGAAATTTAATTTTAATATTTTAATAAGCGTAAAGTTGTTTCTATTTTTTAAAAATTAGAGTTAACAAGAAAAGTATATCTCTTCCACTAGAATCTTAATCTTCATTTATCCCGATGACAGCATTCTATTTGAGTAAAAATTATAGTACAAAATATTTGTATTCTAACAAATGGAGTAATCAGCTCCTCTCCAAAACAAATTGAGATTTATTCCAAATAATTAAAAATTATAATTGTACAACGTAGTTTCACGATATATATATATCATTTCCACGTAATGTACTAATATTTTAAACGATTCGTTATTTGAACAGAAAACCCCAAAGATACACCGATGCTTTAAAATGTCAACAGATACTCTAATAAATGCAAGTATACATCATTATTATGGCATCGTGGCATCTAATAGTGACTTTGAATAGATATCGTTATTTTATGAGTTCGATAACCGACTTTGATTGCTAACACTTGAAAAGTTAAAAATTGGAAGGAAATATTAGGCGAGATAAATTAATTTTTGCTCTAAACGTTCCCTTAAAAAAGAATTGTTTTGATTGATTGTACATCATTATATTTAAATAAATTCAAAAAAATGGGAAGCAAGCCTAAATAGTAAATACTTTGAGTTTGAATTCAAGGAGAGACGAATACCCCGTGAGTTCGCAAGTTATCGAAACCTTCCCACCCAACTCCATCGTCAGATTTCCCATGAGGATACCCTTGCAGTGAGCGTATGGCATAGTTATAACGTAGCACTCGCCTCGTGGAAGTAAAGTTATCTTGGCCGACCCATCCAAGATGGCGGATATGGAGTTGCCTTATTTTTTTTAAAAAAATAATAGGGCTCATCAATTTTTCGTAAAGTTCCTTATCATCCTATTCTCTAACTACCTTATTATACCTTCTGTGATAAACAAAGTTAGCTGTATTAAATACATTTTCATGCATATTTAAAATAATAATGAATAGTACAATTAATTTTACAAAAAAAAGAAGAGTGATATTATTCTCTAAATAAATCCTATTATTTATTTAGGTTAGTGTTATTGAAAATCCCGATTTGAGCCGATTTTTAAAGATTTTAGTCACGTGCTTCGAGATTTGGCAAGTCCAAACTGTTCTGCCATCTATGAGCAAAATCTCCGGGCTTATACGATATTATTTGAGGCTAAAATCTTAAACGAGCGGTAAAAAAAATCGACCCTAAATCGGGCTTTTTAACAACACTAATTTTGGGTTAGTAAAATAGAATCTATAAAAACCATAAAATTTTGAACGCGTCAGAATGGCTCCGGATATGCAGTAGCCATCTTTTCTGTTGGTGACGTAGAATGCCGATATAGGTGGATGATGTGATACCTGAAAAAACATTCAAAATTATTATAACTAAAACCGATCCATTAATAAAAAGTTAAAGTCGAATTATTATATATAAAAAAAAAGAAGGTGTAGTATACCTGTTCAGCCATATAGAAAGTACTACTATCGTTTTTGGGATTTTTCCACATGCACCTAAAAACTTCTCCGAGCACCGGATTATACGGCTTTTTCAAACCCTTACATAAAAAATAATTAAAATAAATATCAGATTTACAATGTAGTATTTTTTTAAATGGAATCATGTTATTATAATTTTTACAGGAGAGCAATTTTTTAAAAAAAAATTACGTTTCGATTGTTTTCAATAAGTTTCTTATATTGGTCTTATAATTTGACTTGTATATATTTAGGTATTTATCATGTGAATAGAAATATAATTATCAGAGACCTGCAGAGGCACCATTTGCACGGCCCGGCCCGGTTTTAAATTTTTTAGGCCCGGCCCGGCCTGTATATTTTTTAAAAAAATTTTTTACGGCCCGGCCCGGATTTAAAAATTTAAGGCCCGGCCCGGCTCGGAATTTTTTAAAATTATATTCGACCTGGTATATACAAAAATTCACCTATGAGGTATTTTACCATATTTTTCAGCGAGTATTATCGCTTATTATTTAAAAAATACATGTAAAAAGCTAATATTTTAAGAATATTATATTGAATTTATAAAAATTATAAAACTGTTATTTATAAAAATGGATATTTTGAGCATATACTATATTTTATATTGCATTTATAAAAATAAAACTAATATTCATAAAAATGGTAATAATATTTTGAGCATATACTATATTTTATATTGCATTTAAAAAAAATAAAACTAATATTTAATTTATAAAAATGGAAAATATTTTGAGAATATAATATATTGTATTTAATTTACTATTTAATTTATAAAATAAAAATAAATCGCTATTTAAAAAAAATGCATGTATAATATATAGTATTTTGAAAATATAATCTTATTGCACAATATTAATATAATTTATTTTATAATATAAATTTTTAACAAAAGAAGATAATTGTATTATATAATATTGTAAAAAAAAATAATGAAAAATGTTGGATTAAAAACTTTCATGACTCAAGGTAAAATATAATAAATGCAATAAATATTTGACAGTTTGCAAAGTAAAAAACCAGCATGATTGATGAAACATTATAGTCAAGAAAGATATTAAAAATTCACAAATTATCATGAAGAAAGAGAAGCATATCTACCTTTTCAGGTTGAAGATTACTTCTTTTTTCTTCAAGAATTCTCGTAATGGAAAAATTCCGCTCACAGCTTGCACTTGAAGCAGGAATTGCTAATTTTGCTAAAATTGGAAATTCGCTTTGATGAGCCGCCCACCACTCTAACAAATTATCCACCTTAAATGTTTCATCTATTTTTTTATTTATGTAATTACAATATTCATCATCGGGTATTGACATATTACCAGAATTACCATCGCCCCATTTGTCATAAAACGATTCAGTTTGTTTAACAACAGTCGTAATTTGACTGGTCGATGGTATTTCATTTACTTCCTGAGCCTCTTGTAATTTAATATGATCTTTTATATAGTTTTCCGTCATCTTGCGATCTGTCTCTGACAACATACGTATGAATTTGGGACAGAGAAAAAGAGAAATAAAATGATACATGTGTAAAACAAATTTTTCAATTAAAAAATGTTTTATATTAAGTAAAATCAAGTTTATTTCTCCTTTTTCGCTTTGAAAGGTATTACAAACTTCAGTTCATAATACCAAATTACCACTTTAAAAAGAGTACAAGAGTCCGACTGTAACTCACCAATAGCTGTTAAAATCCTCAAGAATTTTGACTAGATCCTGAAGGATCGGAAAGTCTATAATATAATACTTTTCCGATCCCCATGTTCTTGAAGAACTTTTATAATTTCTTCATTTTGAGAATAAACAAAATTGAGCATATTGTATTTAGAGTTCCAGCGGACTTCTATATCCTGATAAAGGGCTTTCAAATGCTGGCATTTATTACTTTGTTTTAAATGCCCCACTAATATTTTAGTATTATCTATTGTTGATTTTATTAATGGGGCATTACTTTCCAAATATTTGAAGTTAAATGAATTTCTTAAAATTGTATTTAATATATGACAAGAACAATTTAATCGTTCATTTAACTACAATGCTTTTGAATTTGCAGGAAATTAATAATTAGATCGATCTGTGGGTTGTTAGGTAGTGTTAACCATCACCCAATATTATATTAATCATAACTATAATATAATATAATCTTATAACCATTAACTAATAATGTAAAAATTTTTATAAAAAATATCAAGGCCCGGCCCGGGTTTAACAATCTTAGGCCCGGCCCGGATATATTTTAAAAAAAAATTTTTAGGCCCGGCCCGGATATGTTTAAAAAAAATTTTTTTTGGTATGGCCCGGCCCGGGTATATTTAAAAAATTTAAAATACGGCCGGGCTTAGGGCCGGGCTTGCAGGTCTCTGATAATTATATATATAAAAAATTGATTTATGTAAAAAAAGTCATTTTTGACAGGATATGAAATAACCTAATTTTCAAGCGACGATACACATATATACTAAAGTAATGTTTGATCAATTTTAAAAAATAATACTTTAGGTTTTTTGTAAAAGCCGGACATATACCATTTGGTGACGATTTTGATCCTAGAATAAGGGTCAGACATATCTTGAGCTCTGTGATATTATAAGTTTAATATTTATATTACAATAATACGGGTTATTAAAACCCTAAACAAAATATCATTGATATTAGTTCTCTATTAGGATACAACATTATGTCACCGAAGAGGGCAGGAAAAAAAGCGTTAAACATGAACCCTGCCTATAACAAAGACTTTTTAGCAGAGCGATGCCGGCGATATAAGTGATCTAAGGATATCTATGTCCATGATAGAGATTTACCGGCTTAAAAAAAATTGTTCAAAAATTTAATGTCTATAAGTTAAGACTTACTGAGCTAAAATGTCACTGTGATAATAATAATCGGTGAGCTTGTCCAAAAAGGATCGAGGCTCTAGAATGAAGGTAGGCAGCGTTACCTTCGATAAATCCATCCCTGGTTTCATCTAGTTTTTAATTATAAGAAATTATTATAGAATAAACGAATAATAAAAGAAAAATGAATAGTTTTCCAATGTGTATTGTATTTAATCATTGATAATCAAAATTCTGCTTTTACAAAACTCCATATAGCATTCTAAGAGAAGGTTTTGAAAGATCTGTTTTAAGTTAACTTTAGTTCCAGATAATTTAAAAGAGTTAACAAATTATTTTAGCTATAAAAATTATCTTTGAACTCTATATTTCTAAAACTAATCTCATTGATATATTTTTTTCTCAGCAAATGCATCAATTTTATTTGAAGAAATATGTAAAATCATTATTTAATGAAGCTCAGTAAAAGGATAGAATTCTTTAATTAAATTATTAAAAATATCTTACTTTAGCTGCATTTATTTTCTTAAATATGCATAAATTATTTTTTTTAAAGATAATTGTGAGATATATTGAAATATAAATTTTCAGTGCTAGTTGGAAAATAGAATAGTTTAGAATGCAAAGCGAGTATATGACTTTTACCTGCTTAATCAAAGCCCAGATAAGGCTCTTGTTTTCATCGGGCAGAGTTTCCTCTATAATTCTTCGAGTCGCTTCGCCTGTTCCGCCCTCTTCTTTGTCGGTTTCCCCGTCGTTGTCCTCTTCTACGTAGACCGTCGACTCCTTTTCTTCCTCAGCATTGTAACTCTCGGCGGGGGACACGCCTCTGGAAGATGGCGTCGATGATGAGGTGGCTACGATAGACGAACGCGAAGAAGAATGATCCGACCAACCAGAAACTTCCATGCTCTGATCATCACGTGTCGGAGGAGAAAGTAATGGAGAAGAAGCCGTTAAATGGTCTAAACAAAAGGATGACGTGGAAGCTGGTTGAGGAAAAATATATAATGGGGAAATGGATTAATAAAACTTGCAAAATGACAAAATAATTTTATTTTTTGAAGTACGATTCAAAAGATCGAACTGGGATTCAAGAGAACTCTCGGAACCTGGACAAATTTAGGCACTCCACTTTTTAAATAATTTATAGGAAACGGAACCATATCCAATTTTATCTGGAACCATAAATATTTAGAACCCTAAGGCTTTTTTAGTCGGTCTAATGATATTAAGAACAATGCCTTTTAAACCCTAACCACATCTACGTAACACTTTATTTGGGAACAGGGTGAGAGTACTGCAGATTCAGGTGACGAGGCAAGCTATTTTGATCGGGGTTCGATTCCCCATGGAATTCATTTTTACCCAACCTCTTGGGTCAGGCGAGCCGGGGTAAAAAAAATTTGGGGGGCAACTTGTGCAATTTTTTTTACTATTCCTCTTGACTGAAGAGATATCCATCATTTACGCCCTGGTCAGGACCACTAATAAAAAATCCATTTTGCTATAAGAGCAAGATTTTAAGATTCAGGGCGGGGTATCCCTAAAATAGCTTAATAAAAATAAAACACCATAAATTGAAAACCATGATCTAGCGTATCGACATCATGATCTCCGGGACCTCTGAGAGTTGATAATGGCTCGGAAATTTTCTTGGACCTAATTTTTTTGACATTGAAGGTGTCATCGACGTGTCTCATTTTGCCGCTTTCACTTTGTATCGTATTATATTCCTCCCGTTCAAACACTTGGTTATCGTCACTGTTCAGCAAGTCGGGAATAAGGGGATCGAGATTTGGTTGTTTATATTTATCGACTGAGGAAAGAGAAGAAGTCTTCATCGATCTCATGAGAAGGCTAGAAAATTTAGTGGCCAAGTTTATGGCATCCATCCAGCATTTTCCTGGAATATAAAATTGTATTGCGGTTGAAAAAATTTTTTTTTAAAGTGATTAAGACGTTAGCGAGTCTTAGATATTAAAAAAAAAAATTCGCATGCACACTCACATTAGTCCCATTCGTTTTTTAAGTAATTTTGTTACCGTTAAAGGTATAACTTTTTTGACAACAATTATTTATTAACATTGATTAATTGTATTATTATTTTTAAAGGAAAAGTTTAAATTAAATAAATAATTGATTTGATATTAAATAGCGTCCTGGATTCTCGAAAAATTTTAGCAATTCCATGATTAATAGAAAATATTTTTTAAGTATTATAGCCTTTCCTCAAAACTGTTATGGCTGCTGAACTCTTAGAGAAAGACACAATTTATATAGCAGATTGTGTAAGGGCGAATCCTTATGCATAGCCATTGCAATTTCTTGATACAACGAGCTTTAAACACGACTTAAATACCTGCAATTCGTGAACCACCAGGGCTTTTTAGATTCGTTAGGGCCTAACGGAATTATCCTGATTCCACTTGAAATGGAGCCAATTTCTCGTTCAGGTCTATTTTTGTATAGATTGATTAGCCCTATCCAACTAACCTCAAAACGTATTCGAGCTAAATGAAAATCTTAAAATTTCCAAATATTCAGAAATTTCAGAAAATATATCCACAATCTTAACTTTCTTCCGTAAGCTTGCATTATCCATCTTCAAAGATTTCTCACATCTGCAAACTTACTCGCGATCCTCGAGAAGGCTTTTTCCTCGTATAAAGTCTGGCCGTAGCTATCCTTTATTAAGCTTCAATGACAGTCTTCTCTCCATAGACTTCGCTAGACTTACTCTTCCTTCCTTATTCTTCACATTTTACGCTATATTATCTTTATTTATTTTTTTTAATTTTGGATTTGTTTCTTTTTTTGTATATGGACAATTATTTATTTATTTTTTAACATAAATATTGCATATTTTAAATATTTAAAAAATACTCCATCTTGTGGAATTTATATATATAAATATATTGTTTTCCTATTATATATTATTATTCTAAAAATTGTTTAATAGGTATAAAAAATATATTTTTTAAATAAAAAGTTATATTTTTTTTCTTATAAACAATTGTAAAAGGATTGGAAACGTTAGAAGGAAGGGTTTGAAAGACCCTGCAGCTTGTAAAATATAAAATTGCTAAAATAATAACAATTTAAAATGGCATATTAAAAATTACGAATCCATGATTGTTACATAACCCATTTCAACACGATCTAAAATACATAATGGTTATTTATTTTCTTAAATTGATAAGATAAATTATTTTACCCGTCTAAATTAGTTTTCGAAATTTTGATCACATTTTATTTTTTTTAATCAGCTGATAATTAAAAAGCAAGAATTTACATTTGCATGTCGGAAAAAGTTGGATATAAAAAAATAATATAAAAATAACCTGCTTCTTCGTTGGGCGCGCGGAAAATGAGAGAGGAGGAGGGTAACGGAATTGTTATAGCTCCTAAATTTTCACCCTTGGGTCCCTATTTTTTTAAAAAATAAAATTGAATATTATAAATTATAATATTTTCTGTTTAATTTTAAATTATTACAACAAAGACAAGATTATATTTTATATTCAAAAATGAATAGAATTGAGTTATTCGCAATAAGAATCATATTTCGCATTCTTCTCGAAATGGTAGACGTAGATTTATTCCATAATAATCTTGTAAAGAAAGAAAAAACAAGATTTGATTTAACAGAGTTTGAAACCGTGGAACCCCCTTTTTTCAAATTTTTTAAAAATCAAAACTATTTTTTTTAAAAAATACATATTCAAAACCGGAAATATTCTTTAGTTCCGGTTCGAAACTGATTTTTAAGAACACATATTGGTGAAATATTCTTCTATGTTACGAAAATTTTAGAAGGTGTTCCAGAATTAATCTGGGTCATTAAAACGTTCCAGCTTTCTCTTAAAATGTATCGAATATTTAAAAAAAATATAATAGCCAACGAAAACATTTTAATATAAGAGGAAAATAAAAACGTATTATTTCCAGAACGTTCCAAGCTTCTAGATCCCTGGTGACTAATTTGAATAATTATTATTTTCAAATACTAATTTTTAGAGTGGAGTTATTAATTCATATTTAAAAATACGAATTTTGAAAAAAAAGGTATCCATAATGTTGAATCTATGGGGATGCATTTTTTTTATTTATTATAGCCAATTCAAAACTTTCCTATAAAAAAAAATCGATTTAAATGAAAAAAAATTTATTATTCATCGTCTGAGTAATAAAAATAGCCTGGGCATAACATTTCTCTAAGAAATTGAAATGTTTTTTTTTTCAAAAAAGTGTTATAAACTTAGATCAAAATTTTATATATAAGGTTCCGGAGGCCCAAAATAGAAGCCGGGAAATTATTACGATATTGCGCGTGAGCACTAGGCCCATTCAAAAAAAAAAGAATTAAAATTCGAATATAATAAAATATTCGTATCCGATCCTTTCGAACATATCGGTATTCGTACGAATAGTAGAATATACTATTCTTATTCGGATTTAAAAGAATCGAGTAAAATTTATTATTATCCGTTTTTGAATAAGACTAGTGAGCATTGTATTGAATCCACCTAATTCCCCGATTCATAATGAATATAAGGACGACTCACTTATTGATTTTTTGAGAGGGGAAGGAAGCTAAATTTAATATATATATATTTTTAAAAAAAAATTAATTTAAATTTATTCATAAAAGATAAATTTATAAATTGATATTAAAGATTTTAAAATTATTTTATTTATAAGATATTTTTGGCTTTCTTAACCAAAAAATAATAATAAAAATTACTTTCGTAGGAAAAAAAAACGAAATAATTAAAATCCGGTTTAATTAGAATTTTTTTATTTTTTAAAAAAAGTTTAACTTAAATACTAATTAAAAATAATTATAATAAGTTCCCGTTTTCCTGTAAAGATATCGTAAAATTTATATTTTGAGTATTTTTTTTTATAAAAAATAAATAGATTTTTAATATGCCACGCCACCCAATCGCAAATAGTGTTGTTATAGATTATATACACCAAAAATTTAATATAAGATATGGATACATCAAAAATAATAATATAATATATTATAGAAATGGATTTGAAACGCAAATCCATTAACGGAGAGCGAATTACAATGAATGAGTCTCGCTAGATTCGCGCGTGTCATAAATTTTGTACGCTTGGCGATATCGTTTATAAATTTTAAACGCCACGAAAAACACCTAACTCCTAATTTATTAGGGATGAAAAAATAAATGTTGTAAATTAATAAAAGACGTTTGCTTTGTCGCCCTATGTAAGAATGAGATGACTGATCCTGAAAGATTGAAGACTTGCAGATGCAGAAACACCAATTTATGTGCAGTTCTTCTACGATATTCTTAAGAAGAGTGAGTGGGAAAGGGGGCGGTGCATATCTATTGTGGAAAAATACAGATTTTTAATGTGGGTTATATCCTGTTAACATAAATTTAAAGTGCGCAATATATATAAATATATTAAAATAATAATGTAATTAATCAATTACCGCGACACCAACGATACAATTTATAATTGCTTGTTTTAAAAAGAAATAAAACTACGTTTCATTTTATAAAGTTAGTCTCATTTTATTATGGTAACATTTTGATTATCTAAGGAATTTGTAATAAAAGGAATAATAAAATTGAATCAATAAAATATGTAGAATATTAATTGTATAGAAGAAAAAAATAAAATGATAACGAACTATTATATTGAGTATATATAAAAAAATAGATTTTATCAATTATACCATTAACATTATATAATCTCAAAAAAAAAATGTCAAAGACCTGAAGTCAGGTCTAAAACCAGGTTTTTTATACGGCCAAATAGGTCCGCTAAAATATTTCAACGGGTGGGGGGGGGGGAGATTAGTCATTTTTTAAATCGAATATGGCAAAAAAAATTGTCACAAAAAAATAAAAATATTGCCTTTTAAAATAATTATATATTAATAAGGTGTAAGAGGTCAATCGATAAAAATAATATAATTCATTTTGTTATAATATTAAAAAGAGCCATTTTTTATGAATATATTTTTCGAATCATGATTAAGTGTTGTTAAAAAGGCTCGATTTGACAAATTTCAAATCACATTTTAGCCAAAAATAATATAACGCACGCCTCAAGATTTCGTTAATAGATGTCCTGCTATCAAATGGAAAAAATCTCCCGATCTGCGTAATAAGTTTTGGTTAAAATATTGTGTTTTTCCGCCGTTTAACAAGACTAATATGTGTTAGGTCTCATTCATAGTAAGCGGGCATCGCTGGATATTTTTCAAATTAACATTTTAGCCAAAAATAATATAACGCACGCCTCAAGATTTCGTTAATAGATGTCCTGCTATCAAATGGACAAAATCTCCCGATCTGCGTAATAATTTTGGTTAAAATATTGTGTTCTTCCGCGTTTAACAAGACTAATATGTGTTAGGCCTCATTCATAGTAAGCGGGCATCGCTGGATATTTTTCAAAAACAAGCCAAATAATAAATAAAATTTATAATGACTGCCCGATGTGATGAAATGAATTACCATCGCTATAGAATTATACATTTTTACCTAATATTTTCTCGTTTTGAAAAAAATAGCCAGCTATTGCGACGAGACCTTGGTTAACCCTTATTTTTTAAATTTAAATTCAATAATATTATAAAAACAAAATATCTATAATTATTTGAGCCCTTATTTTAATAATATATTGATTTAATATTTGGCTAACTTATAATTAATTCGGATGTAGTTTATATAACACATGTTTAGATTTAATTTAAGCAAAACATCAAAAATTAAAATTTAATTTTTTTTAAAAAAAATTATAAATTATATATTTGTTATATATAAATAATAAATTTTTTTAATTTATAAATATGGATATATTTGTGGTAATGTATTTATATGACAAAATACTTTTTAGTCAATTCAATATTGCTAAATTTAAGTTTATTTATATATTCCACCAGGAAAATTGGACGAGGAGTTATTTTTCTTCCAGGGTATATTTTTTTTTTATAAATAAAATTAGATTTCGATTTTTATAAAATAAAATAATGATTATTGCCAATCCTATTTCTGACACTTCCTTTTTTCTTAAACCAATAAAAAAAATTGAAATTTGGTTAAAATTAGTGCTAGCGAGCTGTCATTCATTTCCATGGCTTTTACAAAGGATCATATACTTATTATCAATGTATTATAACCAGTGAAAAGTGCTTGGTTTTTTTTTTGTTTTTGGGTTTATATGATTTTATCCTGTTATTTTTAATGCCAGGTAAAATCTAAACATTTTAAAAGTAATTTTACCGGGTGATTTGGTATTTTTAAGGTCAACCGAGCAAAAAAAAGAGTTTCAGCAAGATTTTTGCATGATTTATTTCAAGATGATATATGACTAGTATTTTTATTTTATCGAATGGTTTAAGTTTAATAGCTTACAAAAAAAAATCAATATTTTTTTTAATACCAATTATCATTATTAATATTTTAAAAATAAATTCCAGTAATGGGAGATTAAAAAAAATATAAAAAAAATTAAAGAAGGAAAATTTTAAAAATCGTAAAAAATTTAAAATTATTTCCCATTTTTGATTAATTTAGATATCGATGGCGATGTGTAGTGTCGCTTATCAATCATATATAATTGTATCAATCAAAGACTTTTAATATTTTTTTTTAAAATGTGAACATTTGGCGGTATGACTGGTTGTTTTAAATAATTATGGTTGTATTTTGTATGAGCAGTAGATGAATGCTAAAACGGTAGATTATATGATTTTCCAACTTATTAATTGATATAAATTTAATTTCATTAATTTTTAAAATCGGTCCGGCGAGAGTTTTTTGTAAGTCAGCTGGATCCGGATTTTAAAATTATACCATTTTAATCCGGGACGTGTTTCGGGCCGGGTTCTGTCTACAGGTCTCTGACATTGAGAAGCTGCACGAGCGATCCGATCCGAACTTGGATCGGTTATTAAACAAATTCTTTAACTCGGTCGGGTCGGGTATTGATTTTATAAATTTTCATCTGGACCATACCAGATTTGGAAATCGCTATATTTTAATTTTTTTTTCCTACAAATGCTTAAACATTCTTTTCAAGAATATCATCAATTTTTTCCCATCTATGGCGCTAATTTTATTCGACTTCCAAGATTGATCGTACAAGGGATTAGTTTGTGATATATTTGTCTTCATTCATATGTTTTGGGGGACAAATCTATTTTTTTTATGGCGCGTAATGACTAGGTATCCTAGTTATATATTTAATTTTATGTTGAGTCATTATTTAGCAAAATTAACATTTCATATTTGAATTATAGAATATATATATTTTGCTTATTTAGGTTTGTTCTGTAGTATATTAAAAATTCGATTGTTTAATTTTCAAAGTTTTGACTACCACTTGAGTCGTTAACCACCCTTAACCCCTTCGTATTCCATTTTAAATAAGCATCCATCACGAGTATATATATTTAATTTTCAAAGTTAACTATGTGGGAGAAAGAGGTTGCTAAATTTGCAACATTATTGCCCATGTTCCAGATACATTGCTGGCCAGGTGGGCTCATACCAGTCTTAGGAATATCAGCTCATACTTCAACCCCTACAATAAATCTGTTGCGATGCTGAGGGCGGCAAGGAATACCTCAACTGGTTCGATGCTCATAGAGCCAGAATGATAACTGCTGTTAAGTCTTTAACTAGTATGTATCAAGACACACCAAACAGCTACAGAGGAAATAATCCAATAACTAAGTGCCTCCAAGTTTGTGCATATGCAAGATACAATACCTCTCATAGCGGAGGGAGACTCCTCTGGAGAATCGGCTATTTAGCATGAAACGTTGACATACCCCCCTATGAAAGTTCCACTAATATTCTATAGGCAGATATGAGCTGAAAACGGAAACTGAGAGGCTTACTCACCCCATATCTTTTTTCCCCAATACCATCAACTGTGTGAAGATAAATGCATCTGGGCAGACAACATCTTGAGATGACCTGTATCCTATTTGGTAAGTTGCTATCATTAATGAAATTATGGCACATCTCAAGATTGTCAAACCTAACAGTTTTAGCATAGCAGCAGTAAATGCGATTCTTGGCCATATTTTTCACCGTACATTCCACTTAGATGGAAGTTAACCATCAAATTGATCATCAGTTAATAAAAATCTTCCAACAAAGAATAAACATTAATTGAAAGTCTTTATTATTTCTGAAGCTATGGCTCGTGTCTTCCAAACTTGATGTTGCTCGCTAGTGTTGCCCCTATAAAGTTCCATGGAAAGTTCTACATAAGCGATTTAAGTGGGATGTATAATTTTCAGATTATTCCTTTGCTTATCGCAGTGGTATGAACTCATTAGTTTATGAATAAAGGGATGCTAATTTGCTAAGGCTGCGGTATATTATAATTTCGATTAATTATTACATTTTTATTAATATATTATTTTTATTGAAGTCATATTATTTTTATTATTGTGAATTTTCTTTTTTTTTAGAAAAAAAAAGGATTATTAATAGTATTATAAATATTATTTTAAAAGAATTATTTTTTCGCGATTAGGAAATAAAAACCAAAAAAAAAGGTTAAAAATAATTATTTTTATATTTTATATTGCTTAAATTATATATATTCTTACTTCATTTAGTGTTAATAAACCAAAAATAAATATTATTATAGTGTCTCGAACTTGTGTTAAATATTTAAAAGGAGAAAAGAAGTTAAAGAATTTAAAACACAGTGCAATCATAAAAGTATGCTCCTTTTTTTTCGTTCACGTCTAAATGAACACTAGGATATAAACAACACGCGTATAAAGGTTTTTTCAACGCATAACCCGTGTTTTGATTCAACGGGTGTTAAATGGCACTTTTTATAAAAAAATAATTTGCCATTTAAATGATAAATAGGCCCGTTTTACCCTTATAAAATGAAGCATAAAAGAAATTTTTATTTACCTTGGAAGTCCAAATAGATTCTCCGAGAGGATTAAAAATTTTGAAACAAAATCCGATCTTTTTTGAAGTTCTTTCGATCAGTCGGCAACAGGATAGCAATATGGTTCCAACCCATTTCCCGTACTACAAAAAAAAATATTTTTTAAAAGGTAAGGCTTATCATAACAATTGATTATGTATTCGTATCTCTTTGGATTAAGGCCGGGGATTTAGACTAGGGGTCAGTAACGGGCACGTTTCTAATAAAAATTAAAAATTTGGCGGGCGGGTTAAATATATAATTAAAACCAGGAGGGAGCGGGTTATCTTGAAATTATAAGAAAATGAGCAGGAAGGGCCTAAGTTTATTAAGAAATTAATTTATACCTCAGAAGTTAAAAGTAAAAAAAATTAATGAAGAGTAATTTTCAAATATTTGGCGGAAGTGGGATGGTCTGCCCATTTTATACCTCTAATTCGGATATATAAGATTCGATATGTAATCTTGTTAAATTTACAAGTGGCAGCACCTATGACGATAATATCAGCGTAACATACATTTAAAGGTCAGCTGTAAGTGTGCCGTTGGTTGTAGTAGATGCCATTAAAGAGTATTTTGTTTAAAGTGCCCCTTAATAATATTTCGTCTAAATGGCTTTCCATGTCGGAACTCAATATATGTACACTTTTTAATTCCTTTTAATAAATGAATCGTCAGTCTATGTTAGTATTAATGCCATTAGGCAGCATCAAATTTTTGGTAACAAGATTTAGAGGGGGGAGGGGGGATTAGGCAAATCAAAAACATGTTTTACTATTTAGAAAAACTATATTTTTTAAATTATGCAAAATCCCTCTTATTTTGCGTTTCAGGAATAGATTTCTTGTTTTTGATGCGAATCCTATCACAAACAAAGTTCTGGCATGATGTTATTTCCTTAAGGGCAGTAATATATAGGGGTTATATTCATCTTACATCCCCTTTTGGCCTGGTTATGACACTCACTATAATATATATCGTATTTTCCATTATAATTTACCAATTTATTATCTTTTAATTTTATCTTCCTTTTTTATTGATAATTATTTAATCTAATTTTACGGTCTCAATCAAAAGTTTACGCTTCGTATCCTAATAAAGTCTGTTTTTTCTTTAAAAAAAATTTTTTTTCCAATTATTTTTCATATACGAGCTACAAATACATACCGTTTTTAATTTATTTTTTATATTTTCCCTTTGCCCATTTTTTTAAAAAAAATATTGATTTTAATTTTTAAATTTAAACAAATTTCTTCTTTTTTAAAAAAAATTAAAAGTGTAAAATATAATTATTAGAACTTTTTAAAAAAATCTAAAATTTTGATTCAAAAATTACGTGTAATTTAAAATTTACCACTTTTCGTGATTATAAATTAATTTAAACAAGCATCATTAGGAAAAAAAACAATGAATAAATTCTTATTTTGCTATGGAATTTTTTTTACTTTCAAAAATTAAACAAAAAACAAAATTAGGTAGCCTAATATTTTAGCCAAAAAATATATTACGCGAGCCTGGAGATCGTGCTATAGATAGCAGAAATGCTTGGACATAGGGTAATATTATTTTGGCTAAATTCTTAATTTAAAAACGACTAAATCTACCCGTTTAACTATACCACTAGTAGGGGGGGGGGGAGGATCTAAAATTTATTTTCATATAAACCTAAAATCGTAGTTACGAATTCGCGAAGATTTGTGATGCATAGTAAATATATATATTTTTAAAAAAATGCTTCATTTTTGGCAGTTTGAACAAAATAAAAAAAATCTTTGAATCACAAAATTCAAATTTTTTTCTTGTAACATGATCAATTTTCTTGTGCATAAAAAATCACATCACAAAATATTTACCTTACAAATTAAAAATGAATTGGAATTTTAAGGTTTTTTAATTTTGTCAAAAAATCACGTTAGAGCTACCTTAAAAAAATTATCCGAATTTTTTTTTCTATCTTTGAAGTGTATTTCGAATTCTGATTTTCGGCGGTTTTCGCCAAATTTTAGCAGATCTTTTTTTTCAAAAAAAAACGTTTTACAAAATCTACTAAATTTTGAGCTTTTCTTTTCATTGTCGATATATATGGCTCAATGAAGAAGCACAATAAATATTATCAACTCTTGCCATCAATTCTTAGCGAATTTTCTTACGTGCGCTCTTGTAGACTGGACCTAATTAGCCGATTCGTAGCTACCACCCAACATATTTCAATAATACATATGGATTTTAACTAGTTGTTAAACGTATCGATTTAGCAAATTTCAAAATTAAAATTTTTATCCAAAGTAATAATACATTTTAGGCCTCGAGATTTCGTTAATACATGTCTAAACTTTTCTGCTAACTATGAATGCGTAATATTTTTTTGCCTAAAATATTGGGCTAATCGTTTATTAAAAATCGATCCGTTTAGCAACACTAGATTTGAATGGCAAAATCATTTTTGAGATTAGGTTTAATTTTTTTTTTGCAAAAATAAGATTTTTTGACATTTTCTTATCCCTTACATTAAGTATTTTTTGTTTTATAATTCCAAATTATTATACATCTGGAAGTACTCTCTGGATAGCAATTAAATAGTTTAGTATAACTGTAATAATAAATTTAAAATTATACCTATTATCTAATTTTTTTTTTAAAAAAAAATAAGCGCGATAAAATATAATCTTAAGAAACGTTGTCGTCCTCATCCTAACAAGCAAAGTTGCGTCATTCTTTTTATTCGTACCTAACATTTTTTTTCCAATGGAAAATGGATGCTTTTTTGCGAAATAATATCGCGTGATTATTTTAACTTTGCTGTTTGCTATACTTTTACATGAGAATAAAATTCGCAATTTTGATCGCTTACTAGGATGTAGGTTTAGGAACAAAAAAAATAAAAAGATAATTCGCTAACCTTTTCAGTCTTATCACTAGTATAAAGAATCAGGAGTCCGGGCTTAAGGACGCAAAACAGCTTGGTCCATCCTTTCAAACTACCCCTGACTTTGAGCCAATCAGAGAGAATAAGAACGGATGGGTCGTCCAGTAATTTGAGAAACTGTTGGGCAGCTTTCCTTTTTTCCATGGTACAAATTATGTTTACGATTTCTGTTTCTAGAATATTTTATGATTATTATTATTATATATTAAATCTAGTAAGAAAAAATTATAAAATTCATATTATTCTTCTAAACCAATCTTTATTTTAGCCATATGAAGTTGATATACTTGCATATGCATGGTGTCGCTTATATTGTTTCAAGCTAGCTTTCAGATTTGTTGCCAAGTTTACTCGAATCAGATATAAGCTACTCTTCGAAATGCCTTGTCGACATCATGCTTCTTATTTTGCTCATATAACTCATTTCCTAATGGTTCTGTTGAGTAAGTTCTTTGAAGCACAATAAGGACAAACATAATAATATTTAACCAAGAGATATTTCACGACTTTTATGTTTTGTGATAATGACAACTCTCTGTTGGTTTAGTTTCCAAATGTCATTGACATATTGTAGACACCAAATATGCTCCCAGTTGGCCACTTAATAAATAAATCCACTTATAATTAATTTGGTGCCAAATAGAGGCAATAAATTAAGCAATAATAATATTGACATGAATTATGATTTGTGTTTCAGGTTATTTTTGGCAAATTTACAGAAATATCGTTAATTTTTTAAACATACTAAAAGTTTTATGTTAGATACCGAAATAAGAATGGTTCAAAAAATTAGAAACCAGCTCTGCCCACAATATTCTCTGAACCAGTAAATAAATTTGTAAAAGCTGACCAGCCTTTAATAAATTTTTGGGTTGAAAAAATAATCATAAATTTGTATTTAGGAATCATTTATAACCATAGACCTATATTAACATGGACTCAACTCCCAATTGGACGATGTATTCAAAAACATCATTTTTTTGGACGCCATGTTTAAAATATCAGGTTTCCATTATCATATGCTTAACTTAAGATTTAAAAATCTTTCATCAAAAAAAAACAATTAAAAAAGATGTAAATATATTTCATGCAATTATTACCATATATACTAAGATATTATATGAGAACAATCCTTTATCAATATTGAAAATTATTTTGCTCATATAAAATCTTAAATTTCATTTAAAAAAACTATTCTATGAAAACAATCCTCTATCATTGATATTGTAAATTATTTTAATTAATTTCAAGGTATTCTCCTAATTTATCTTTATAAAATATTATTGAGCAAATTTCATAACAATAGAGGTTTAAGGAATAAAGATGTATATATCATATGTAAATTTATTTAAACTTTAAAACAAAATTGAATCAAAGCTAGTTTTTTTAAAAATTTAATATATTTAAAAATCTAATTATACACATTATTATCATAATATTTTTAATAATTTTACTATTATCAATGCACAAAAATATGAGAAATTTGCCTAATTATACACATTATCTTATTTATTTTAAATAATTTAACTACTACTAACAAACAAAAGTATGAGAAAGTTTTGTAATATATAGCACATTCTTATCAGTATATTCATTTAATCTTTCTTCTTGCTTTTTAAATATTTCTTTCAAATAATATATGCTTATATATTTTTTTAATTTACTGACATGTTGTTAATGTCAATAACTTGTTATTTTTTATTATTAAATTTATTCTTATCACTTTATGGTTATATTTAAATGTGGCCTAATGATAAAAATAATTATTTGAATTGTTTCAATAATTTGAATGCTCTATTTTTAACCAAACAAAAAATGTATAACCTGATTTTTCAAAAAAGAGGTAAAAACAATTTTTTGGACATAAATTAATTTTTTATGTTAAATGAATTATTTTAATTATTTTATATTTTTTTCATTTTGTAATTTTTAAATTTATTCCTCCAAAACTTTTTAAATTTTTTAATAAATAATTAATTAATTATTTTTATATTATATCTTTTTGAAAAATGTTAATCTTGCTATTTATAATATGTGATTTAAATATAATTAAGAAAATTCTTATAAATATCTAAAATGTTTAAACTTAATATTAATAAAAGCATACTTATTAAAAAAAATAAAGGATGCAAGTTCAAAATGGGAATATTTTTAGTTACATTATGTTTAATCATTGAGCAGTCAATATCAATATAAGTCAACATTTATAAAACCCAAAATAGTGATATAACAGCATAATGCTACAAAATAATGTTTAATAACACAGCTATGGCATTGTTTAACCATCCTGACAGTTGTTATAAATGATGTTATATTCTTATCTTAAAAAAACAAAACTTTAAGCAGACTAGGCCCAAGAAATTTTTACAAAAACTTCCAAGCTAAAATTTTTTAGACTTTATGCTCGACTATATAATCTCTGCTATGCATGATATCACTTAAACATATTTGACAAAATGATTTAATGGTAAACATGAAAAGGTAATCAACTAAATATAATCATCTTTAGCAAGTTGATTAAAATATATATTAATACCTAGTAATATAAACAACTTTAAATCCAAACCAAAAATTATGAAATTAAGCATTAAAAGGTCAAAAAATAATGGTCAAATATGTGCCATTCTAATATTAAGTGTATATCAATTGAGGTGAGTTTAGGATTGAGTTATAACTAAAAATGTTAAAAACTTAAGTGAAATATACCCAAAAGTTGGGAGAAGATTGTGTATAAATATCTACAACTTATGAATGTATAAGAAAGCTGCATTTGATAGAAGACTTTAAAGATCCCATGCTGTAAAACAAAACATATACTTTGTAAAAAGGATACGTCTCAAACCCGATGATGATGATTATGATAGAACAGACATTAAAAAGATGTTATTTTAAAAAAACCATCTGGGTTAAAAAAAATATATATATAAAATTGTAATAATTTAATGATATCAAAATTGTTTATAAAAACAAAAAACTTTATTGATCGTTTATGAATAGCCTTGTCATTATTGCCTTTAGAAAGTAAGCTTTAATCTGGAAGATATTTTTCGATAGATCTTCTATCATAATCAGCTGAAATAATGAATGAAATAATTATTTTATAGTAACAAAAGAGGTTTAGTGCTATACATTACCTCAAATAAAATAGCAATTTAAAGCTAATATAATTTTAAATACAATTAAGTTGATAAAGGTTTGAACATCTAGATTTGATTGTTTGGAGACGAATGAATGTTGTATTTTAGAGATCTGGAATAGTTTTCACTCAAACGAAGATAACAAATTAAATAATAAAAATTATATAATACTTTTTTAGATAATATATTATCAGTCTAGATATTTCTAATAATACATGAAAAAAAATCAATATTGACCTGTAAAATTACTTTTTAATGAAACAGGAAAATTTCTTCAATTATAGTTTCCCAGGAAATGCCCATTACTGATCCAGACCATGATCCTAACTAAATTAGTAGATTTGGGTTAATATTCCTCCTAAAACAGAAATCGATTAAGATCTCGACAAAAGAAAAATTGCTAAAAAAATATTTGAAAAAATGATAATATTTATTATGAATCAGAATATTGCCACGGAGAGCGAAATAATAGTCATTGAATGTCAATAAATTTATAAAATTTACTATTATATAGATATACAAAATAAACTTAATATTGTCATAAAAAACATTTATTTGAATTTGACCGGTCAAATATCGGTCCAATGACCGAATCATATTTGACAAGTCAAATAATTTAATTGATAACCCCCAAAAATTTGCCTTCAGCCTACCCCCTTATATCTTAAATAAAAATTAAGCAAAAAATTAACCAATCAGAAAAAGAATAAATACAGTATTAATATAAAAAAAATAAACATAAAAAAAGATTAATAAGCCTAGAAAGATTATGCATAAGGTTGTCGTTAATTTTCAAATATTCTAATGTTCATTTTTGAATTAGTCCTGATTCTGAAAAAAAGACAAAATTAAAGAAGGAACTTGGTAAAAATGTTTTCTAATGTTTTGTTAAGAAATTCTAAGAGGTTCTAAATTGGGATTATTTAAGAATATTTTATTGTTTATGAGGGGAAAGTATTTGAGTTAAATTTCATATTTGTGTTAGATTTTATTTTGATTAGCAAATGAGATTGTGAACACTTTTAACAGTTAAGTGCCATGCATAGGTCTTTATTTGAGACGGTTGTAGTGTAAGGAGGAGAATTTTATGAGATTAGGGCTGAGATTAGTGATGTAAGCAAAGGACAAATACCTGGGAATTCCGGAAAAATTATATTTTTTTTTGGTAATATTACCCATTTAATTTTTATAAAAGTATGTAAATTTATTTTTTATTAATGTTATTTTTTTTTTATCTATTATCATGTTTATCTTCAGCTAAATTTTAAATAATTTTCTTAGTATAATGATATCTGGATATATATCCCATTCAGTAATGTCCTTCATGCACTTTTTAAGCGAAAACAAATTTTCAGGGACAAAAAGATCTCCTTAAAAATTCATGGCATGTTTTGGAGAGTTAATTTGTCCATTCATCAATATAAATTTTTGAGAGTCCTTTTTTGTAGATTTTTGCCAAATCATAATTTTTTGTTGTTTAAAAATTTTATTTTTATGATATAGAAGATTAATAATTTGATAGATTTCATTTTAATTTATTAATAAATTAATATCTATTTTGTAATTGTTATATAAAGAAACAAAAAGATAATTAATTTATTATTTTCTTATAAATTATTTTTTAGATTGAATTATTATTCTCAATTTCAAAAATAATTTTAGGAAATCATAAAAAGTAAAAGTTATTTAGTTCAATCGGAAAAAAAAGATAAAAAGGAAATAATAAATTAGCAACACAATAAAAAATATTTATATTTTTTTCTAATAATGAACATTGATTAATAATTATCATAGATAATTTATACCCCGAACTTAGAAAAATTCTGTACAATCATATGGAGTGGACTAGTTTTAATGTTTAAAGTATTTAAAAATAAAGTAGCCTCTTCAAGAAATTTCAATATTAAAATAATTAACAGATGATGATAAGCTAATCATTTTACTTGAGAGCATACATTTTTGGTTCAATAGTGAAACTGCTTTTGATCCCAATTTATGAAAAAATAAAAATAGTAGAATAAAATTAAATCATATTTATTTGATTTACCAGAAATAAATCATTTACAAGATTACTCGAGTACAATGCAAAATGACTTAGAAAAAACAACTTAAAAAATTTAGCTGGCTAGATTTTCATTTTTTAAACGCACATTATTTTGTCAAAACATTGTCACCCAGGTTCAACTGCCTTTTTCATTCACCAAGTAAGGGCAATCGTTTAAATCTAAATTTAAATACAATAATAACAAATCTTGATGAATATCGGTGCATAGAAGATTTTTTGAAAATGGTGCCATATTGCCAGCGTCTACATGACAGGATTTTCACTGGATGCAAACCCCCTTCGAAAATCTTTACCTACCCCCCTAAAAAATCCCCCCACCTTCGCCGGCGATATTTCCCCATTATTATTTTCACCTTTTTAATTATAATGATACTCTTTTCAGAGAATTTATAAAGGATAACTTAAATTAATCTATCTCTACTACCAACTATCGATATTTTGTGAATATAAAGGATTTATTTTTTAGATAATAAATTCAATTAAATCCTCCATTATTTACAATGAATTCATGATTATAACTTTATGAGCTTGCTGATATCTAAACCCAGTGGCGTAGCTAGGAATTTTCCTTAGAGGGGGTCCATATATAAAAGCTGGGGGCTTCGCCCCAGACCCCCTTTTACGGGCCTTCGGCCCTTTTGCCGCCCTTCGGCCGGGTTTATCTTAAAAATCATATTGGTTTTTCTTATAATATAAAAGTCCTAGAATTATTAATTATTTTAATTAGTGTTGTTAAACGGCTCGACTTGAGCTGATTTTTATAAACAGCTAACTCAATATTTTTGCCAAAAAATATTGTTCAAGCCTAGAGATTTCTCGAATAATATAAAACTTGTATCTCCATGAGCAAAATTTTCTGGCTAATATATTGAGTTAGCCATATCGGCTAAAATTGAGCCACTAATTTTAATTAAAATAACACATTGACACAATTTTATTGATATACGTTTCATTTTATTATACTTTTAGAAGTTATTTACAAATAAAAAGCGATTATTTAAAATATAAATATTATATTGATTTAATTATAAATATTATATTGCTTTAATTATAAATATTATATTGCTTTAATTATAAATATTATATTGCTTTAATTATAAATATTATATTGCCTTAATTATAAATATTAGTATTACACATATAAATTGCTTTAATTATAAATATTATATTGCCTTAATTATAAATGATATATTTTATAATTAGTAAACACATTAAAACTATAGATTAAAAAATAAATGTTTTTTTTAAACTGTAAATTTAAGTCGATATCCTTCAAAGTGAAAAAATCAAAATTGTGTTGGCAATATTTTCTTACCAATATATGATAGATGTTTAAAATTAATATTGAGAAACCTAGGCTAATAATCATAGATGACATGTTAGCTTTGGAACCAACTTTTGATTATTATAAGTATAAAGTAATAGACTATATCACTTGTAGTAGGTGATGGTTCTAAATGATCTAGTATAATTGGTTGTCTATTATCCTTTAGTTTTCTGGAGTATGTGGGAATTGCTAAGATTTTAAATAAATATAATTTAAATAAGACTAATACCTGACATGAGTGGAACTTCATTTCCATTTAAATTCTCCCTAGATTTTTTATATATCTAAAATTTTAATGTAAATATTAATAAGTAATTGATTACATTACATTATTAGATAGTGATTTGTTGTGACTTAGTGTATTTTTTTGTTTGTTATCACTATTTTTTTTACCCCTTGGTGTGAATATTAATTGAGATATTCCTATAAAAATAAATTAAAATAAAACAACATATTAGATAACCTTTAAATTCTAAATTGATACAGCCTATAATATTTTGTTGACTACTATCATTCTTCTTCAATGTGATACTTGATATACCTAAAATTATGATATAAATATTTAAAGGTAATAGTTAACATTACTTTTACTAGGTAGAGATTTGAAGTGATCAAGTGTATTTAGCTTATTTTTATCATAATATTTTATAGAGTATCTAGGTATTTCTAAAATTTAAATGAATACATTTAAATAAGGTCATATAAGTTCATAAAATACCTGAGGTGAGTGGTAAATTGTTGCTTATGGTATCAAGTTCATCATTAAAATTCTGATTTTCTATATTAATTGGTGATTCATTTAAATAAGGTCATTATAAAATACCTGATGTGGGTGGTAAATTGTTGCTTATGGTATCAAGTTCATCATTAAAATTTTGATTTTCTATATTAATTAGTGATTCATTTAAATAAGGTCATTATAAAATACCTGATGTGGGTGGTAAATTGTTGCTTATGATATCAAGTTCATCATTAAAATTTTGATTTTCTATATTAATTAGTGATTTGGTATGTTCATTTTGTTGACTATCATCATTTTTATTAAATGTAATACTTGATATATCTAAATCTATAATAAAAAATATTTAAATCTTAATAGATTATATTACTTGTACTAGGTAGTGATTTTATATGGTCTTTGGGTATATAAATGAGTGTATCAAGATCATTTTCTTCCCTCCTACGTTTGGGTATATCTTATAAATGTCAAAATATTTTGGTTAGCCAAAATTATTTAAAATAATAAATTACCCAAAGTGGTTTGTACTGGCAATTTTAATTTAGTTAAAACTATGACTAGGTGTTTAATTTTAAATTCTAAAATAAAAATAGTTAGCTATTAATTTTAAATATCTTTTATATTAAATGTTATTTTGACCTGGTGTATTTACATCATCCTTATTATTTTCAATAGAGCCTATAATGCATAAGATATTAATTAGTACACTGGATTAAATATTTTTTAACCTCGTGTATTTATATCATGCTTATCATTTTCAACAGGGCATAAATTGCATGAGATATTAGCTGGTAAATTTTTTTTGTTACTTAGTAAATATTTTCTAATGTCCATTTCCTTCAATCTTAAAGTTCGTAAATAGGAAATAACAATCTTTACTTTTTAGTCATAAATTTATCTCTTTAATAATTTCATTTATAAAAATGCTACAAAATATAAACCAAATATATATTATTAGAAATAAAAGCAGAGAAAGTAGATTATGCACTATTTTCATATTATTATTTTCGAACCATATCTTCGATAAATTATAATAAATATTTTTTTAAATATGCATAAATAATATATTATTATATTTTATTAGATTATCATCAATGACTTTAAAATAATATACAGAATAATTTATATATATATATAAGTAATAATATCCTTCCACAAACATCAAAACCAGAAAAATATAAATATTCATGGTATTTATTTGATATAAAGTCACTTTTGAGTCTTTTGAACGAATAATCTAAAAAAATTGCTCTGAGGGGGGGGGGGGGGGGGTAGATTATGCACTTTTTTATTTCATATTATTATTTTCGAACCATATCTTGGATAATTTATAATAAATATTTTTTTAAATATGCATAAATAATATATTATTATAATTTATTAGATTATTAACAATGACTTTAAAATAATATACAGAATAATTTATATATATATAAAAGTAATAATATCCTTCCACAAACATCAAAACCAGAAAAATATAAATATTTATGGTATTTATTTGATATAAAGTCACTTTTGAGTCTTTTGAACGAATAATCTAAAAAAAATTGCTCTGAGGGGGGGGGGGGGGTAGATTATGCACTTTTTTATTTCATATTATTATTATCGAACCATATCTTGGATAATTTATAATAAATATTTTTTTAAAAATGCATCAATAATATATTATTAAAATTAATAGATTATTATCAATGACTTTAAAATAATATACAGAATAATTTATATATATATTTAAAATTAAAAGTAATAATATCCTTCCACAAACATCAAAACCAGAAAAATATAAATATTCATGGTATTTATTTGATATAAAGTCACTTTTGAGTCTTTTAAACGAATATTCTAAAAAAAAAAAAATTAATTGCTCTGGGGGGGGTCCAAACCCGAAACCCCCCCCCCCCCCGTAGCTACGCCACTGTCTAAACCTTTTAAATGTAATTTAAAAGGGAAAGTTTTATTTGTGAAACAATGTGTATGATTGTTTGCAATATATAGATTCGGTCGTTGAGTATTATAATAGTTCTATAATAAAATTATTAATTTTTAGAGCAATAAATTTTGTCCTATTTTATCTCAAAATTTAATAGATAACCCCCCAAAAAATTTATCCTACCCCCATTAAAGCCGCCTACCCCCTCCAAAAAATAGGATGCAAACTGTTCCTACCCCTCCCGCTCATGTAGACGCTGCATATTGCAATTATTTTGCTATAATTCTGATGGAAAGGGGGTTGTACTAATCAAACACTGTAAGATTAGCAGCAAAATAATTCTCAATCATCCCATCCAATGCAGGCACAGAAAGAATATGGTCTGCTTTTGGGCACAATTAAGGAAAAGGAAAAATTAGTTTTCAATCCCTAACTATCAATATCTCCAAATGAAATTTATCCAAAACTAAAATGTGGGTAGAACAAATGAAGACATGATATATCTTAGCAAATGAATTTCTGATTCTGGAGACTAATTTTAATTTAATTTTATTAATATAAATCCATTACTAATTGATTATATATAAAAAATAAAATATTTTGAGTTTAACTTTTTATTTTCATGTGATTAACAAGGTATACACCACATGCTTGCCAAAGACTTTTCTTTTTGAACCATCGCATGTCTAACAAAGAGAAACAATATAAAAAACCTTTTAGTTATAAAAATTGGCTTTTTCATTATAAATTAATTAATATGCATTCTTATTTGGTGAATAACTTGATCGCATGTTCTTTGTAATGATTTTATCTGTTTAAAATTAAATGCGCAATTAACAATTCTGTCAATATATTCTCGTATTAACTTTTTTACATTTAAAAATAAATTATTAGAATGGAAAACAAATAGCGTTAAAATATTTCATAGGTTTAAGCGAATCGAATAATGTGATACATTTTTGAATAGATAACAATAAAAAATTAACCCTCGAATGTGTATAAGGTCAAACCATAATAACATATTGTTCATGAATTAACGATTTAAAATTTATTTAGCCTTAAAAATGGAAATAAATATATCTATTAATAAATTAGGATAAATTTATCATTTATTTTGCTTTTAATCTATAAATTTTTATTTATCCTACACCCCTTCAAGAAATTATAGGCAAATAACTCTAATCCTCCCTTCATGTAATAGACGCGCTTTATCAATAAAACTACAATAAAAAATTTGTAGATGCGATTTTACTTCCTTAATATTCACTAGCCATATAGGGAAAGAGCGTTTTATAATCTTAAATTTATTTTTTTAATGACGGATGGTAGCAAAATATTCAAGTTTATAGGATGATGTATAAATGGTGTTATTCATACTTCAGACAAATAACTAATAAAACAATAAAGGTTTTTAAATAATATATTAATTTGTACACAATTACGGTTATATTAATCTTAGTTATAATATTTGATATTTATATAAAAAAAATTAAATTAGATAAATATACATATTTTAAAATTAGTATTCGAAATATTTAATTTTGCATATTGTTCATATAATGATATATTTTTTAATTGTTATATATATTAATTATATAATTATTTAATAAAATTTAAAACAAGTCAATAATTTATATTATACATATTTATAAATCACGCTCATTTATATTATGCTTTCTAACTCTGTCGCATTATTAGCCATCATTTCCTTGTAATTATGGTTAACCGCCATATATTCTCTATAAATCTGTGGATGATTACTCTGGAATCTTTTTAATAATTTTTTTTTGCGTTTCTCGGGAATAGTGGTATCCTGAACCATATCTCCCAATAACTTGTACAATTCGTTTTGAGTTGATACCAGGGATTGTTGCTTAAAGGTGTTTTCCGTCATTCTATCGCAAAAGGTGATGCCATCTAATTGATAAAATATTATTTTATATTTTTCCAAATTGTTCAATATTCATTCTTAGAAACGATAATTTAAAACAAAAAAAATTACACTCCTCTCTTTGATAATGTAATCGATTGAGGATTTGTCTGTATTCGATCCTATTTTTTTCCTCCTTAATATTCGGGTTCAGGAATTTTTAACTCTATTTAGCGAAATTTTGATAACACCCCAAGTACGATGGGTTGACCATAAATAGACCTTTGTTTGGTCTGCGGTCTCGAAATGCCCAATCAAACAATTTTAAATCTCTGAACCCGAATTAGCAGAATCCCGCTTTTCGGGTATGGGAATTTTCTTTATCTTGAGCCATTTCGAAAGGCGGTCATTTTTCAAGGTTTTGCTTGTAACTTTAAAACAAAATACATTTATTGTTTCCAAAAATTCTTTTAAGAATTTAAATTATTCGATTGATATATAATTTGGGAATTCTATTAGAATTTGTAGAATATATTCTACATGACTAAAATATAATTTGAATTTATTAGCATTATCTTTTTTTTTTATAAAAAAGGCACAAAATTAAATATACAAATTAAATACCGGGTTTGTTATTGCTCGATCTCCCGTTACTCAAAACGTTTTCTCTTGGCGTTTTAGCTCCATCTATGTAATCGATATTCATACTCTTGTTGAACATCCGAGATAGACTCTGTTCCTCGCTAGAATTACTATAAATATTCTCGGGTGTGCCAGCCTCGTCTATATTATTAGAGCTGCTAGTCTTAGTGAGATTGGAATTTATCGAATTCTGTAAAAGGTGCATGTTGTTGATCATGAAGCTCACTATGATTTGAGATTGTTGCGGAGAAAAGAGTTTGTGGTCGAATATACAAGGAGAAAATATTTTGAGGCATAGTTCAATGTTACTTACCTAGTTAGGATACATTTATTTCACAAAATTCAAATTTATAATGAAAGACGGAATATTAGTTGAATAATTATATTTAGGGCTGGATAAATCTACTTTTTGGCCAATACTGATCCCATTCCAATTTCCACATTGATTATAATTTTTTACCTTGTCTCTAATTTTACACTAGTAAAAGCAAGAAATAATTATAAAATGGTTATGCCCTATAAAAGTTTGTTTAAATATAGTTCGTGTGAATCTCAACTCTCACATAACTCGTTTTATAAATAAACCATATATAATGAGCTCAGCATTTATATAACCATTCTAAGTTAAGTATTCAATAATTTTTAAATTAATTTAAAATAGTATATATACAAAATTCAATAAAGATATTATGTAAAATGTTAATAACTTAAATCTTAGACAAAATATCATTATACGAATCTGTATCATTCATACAGTTTTCTTTCTTTATATAATTACTTACTTCAACAATATAGGAAATATTTTTATTAGGTATCGTTCAAAATGTCACATTTAATTTAAAGGTTTAGATATAAAAAAAACCGATCAATATTGTTGCCGATCAGATATCGCCGCAACCTTAATTATATTATTATCACCCTATATACCAGCCAAGAAATAATTAAAACCCATAAATATTATTAGATTTATAAGTAATAAATTAGTAAAGTATATAATACACGTTGATAACAAAAAAAATGTATCTAAATTACAAACATCAGACTCCAATCGAATCTGGTGATCAGCGTTGGAAACGGCCTTAATAAATTCCAGGAGACACATTAGCTCTAAAAAACTATGATTTGGCAATAAATTCAAAGCTAATTTCAGTATAGCGATCGCCATTCGGTATCTTCTATTGATTATGTGATTCAAAATGGAGGAAAATATGTCTAAAAATTGCGGGGGGAAAAATATGTGGGTGGTTTTCTTGTTATTATTTTTTTTTTTGTTATTATCTCGACAAGAGCTACCGTAATACTCTGATATGGTATGAAAGAGTTGCATTTTGAGGATAATCTCCGATTCCGTCATCAGATTTTCGCGGGGTATAGTACTGTTAGGATCGTTATCATAGTTGTTTTCGTTGACATCTAAAAAATTATCGTATATACAGGCCTTGTGCAGAAGTTTGAGGGCGCAATTTGACCATTCATCCTTGCAACTAGGAAATGAAATTTATAATATTAATTTTATTTTTAAAATTTTTATGGACATCTTGAAAGTTTCATGTTAAAAAATTAAACAAAATATAGTCATTAGTTCATCGTTCATTGAAAAAAAATGTTTATGATTGATTGTCACATAGTACAAAGAAAAATATTGGCAGTCCTAATAGAGTAAGTAAAATAAAAACTTACGAATATGGATCATTTATCGAGTAGCTTTGTTCCAAATCTTTGTCATCCCTGTCGACGTTGGAACAGCTCAGCATGTTACATTTGCTATCATTTTGCTGGCGATAAATATCATCCTCGGGAACTTGGTGAAATTGGTCCTTCGTTATTTTACATCTTTGCTCATTTTCCCAAGACAACAGGCCCTCTAGCACAGGAATGTCAACTAAGGTCAAGAGCCTGACGATTATCATGTCCCTATTCAAAAATATCGGGTTGCCATTGTTAATTTCGTTGGGGTCAGGGTTGGCACATTTATCACCGCCATCTTGTTTTTCGGTGTCATTTTTATCCCTAAGGTGGGAAAAATAATTATATTAATTAAATAATTATTGATTTTTCAATATTATTTGCAAAGTTAGACAGTGATATGACATCTTATTGTATAATCCACATATGTGAGGCAATCTTCTATCACATCCTAATCTCCTATAGTGGCCTATTTTTAAAATCATGTGCTGGCCTCTGATTAGTCTAATTACTTTAACGGGTCGATTTAGCCAAAATAATATTACGCACGCTTTAAGATTCCGTTAATGGATCTACAAACCTCTCTAGTATCTATGAGTAAAATCTCCAGACTTGATGAAATAGTGTGTTAGACGTTTTAGCAACATACTATTCAAATTACTAGGCCAAGTATCAAGTGGTGATCATTTATCTTTTTCTTTATGAGTAAGTAGATTTAAATATCTAAGTAATAAGAAAAATTAATTGGCGCCAATTTTTTCTTCTTCTCGATTTAGATAGACCTTTAGTGATTATAACTTTCCCTACAATATGATATATTATTTACTATAAATAGTTTTGAAAGCATTTTTTAAATTTTATTATATATTTAAAAGTCGCTATTTTTCGCACAGTTTTGAGGCCCCATTTCACGGCTAAGAGGTATACTAGCGAACTAAAATAAAAGGCTTATTTTTTTTATATATCTAACTTAATAATTCCAGAAAATTTTAACAATCTTAAAAAGGGTCGTCCGAAAATGTGCCCTTTTTTGAACGATTTGACATGGGGCTCTTTTGTTAACTCCATAATTTACATTATTAAAATGACACGATAAATATAAATATATTATAAATCCCGGAAAATTTTTAATTCCTCCAGAAAAAAAAAATTCCCCTAATAAATTTTGTTTAAAATTTTTAAAAAATAACCCCCCCCCTCTTCCTCCTCAGGGGAAAAAAATAATAGAGATTTTTTTTCCCGGGGATATTATTTTCCGCTTACCATAATTTTGTAATGCGCAAAATTTCAAGTTAAATAACGAAATTAAAACCCATTAAAGAATTAATATTATATTTTTAATATAATTCCTATATATAAAATACATTGGATTTATAAAGAGAGTAATTAGAACCGAAACAAATATTCAATTTGTTTTTGAATATTCTTTATATGTACGTCTCCCTCCTTTACCCTCTTTTCTTTTTTTTTGAATAGATAATTTGCAAAAATTTGTTATTTTTAAAATACTAATGACTTTTAGAAGGTCAAACGCGCGTTTAAGATTAACGTCCTTGAGATAGCCATTGAGGCGCGTTCCCTATTTCAAAAGGTTAATACCCCAGATATTTTAAATTGTTATTGCAAAAAAAAACCAGTCTATATATCATGATATATACCAGGGACCTGACTGGCCGGGCCGTATATTTTATAAGGCCCATTATTAGCTATAAAAGTTAAGAAATAAGTATAATATATTTAAAAAAAATCCGAACCGGTCCTAAAAATATAAAATCCGGCCCGGGCCGATAATTTTTTTGTGGAGCTATGCTAATAGTACCTCTACAGGTCTCAGATATATATATGTATACAGAGTTCCATCTATTTATTATATCTTGCTTAATGGAATGGCTTAGTTTGCTGTTTCTGCTGATTGAGCTATCTTTTTTTAAACCATTTATAATCTAAATCTATTTCAAGTAATAAGCTTTTATCAAATAATATAATGCATTATATTATTTAATAATGGCATGAACATGGTATCCTTACATCACCTTTAAATGCACTTATATTCAATATATTTAAAAACATATGAAGCAATTGCATCAATTATCTTTTAGATTTGTAGGTAGAAATTAAACAATAAGTTATTAAGATATTTAATTTTGACTGATTATAATTTGAAGGCAAATGATTAGTATATAGTAAAGATACATGAAAATAAAGCATATTTAAATTAAATTTACTACCCAATTTCCATTGCTGAGCGAGTGTTGAGAAACTTTAAAATCTTTTTCATTCAGTTGAAATTTTACAAGATGGTAAAAAAGAAAATGTTGTTTATAAAATGCGTAATAAAAAATTATTTCTTTTTCAAAATTGCAAATTTATATTCATTAAAAAAAATTAAAATTTCCGTGATTCACGGGAAATTTATTTTCACGCCCGACAAAAACTTTGGAAAGGCCAGTCACGCAATTTTGCGGCCCGTGCACACCCATTAATCGTCGAAATATATATAGATGAAATTTTTTAATCGGAGAATGATAAGTCTATCTCATGCTCTTCTATAATGACATCACTATCTGCCGATGATATATTTTTATTTTCTAAAATTTAAAAAGTTGACATAACTAGATGATCATATGAGGTATGTTTGTAAATATAAATTGCATTTTGTGGAAATTAACTTTCCCCACGCTTATTGATACGTCTATTACGATTTTTGAAATGTGTCCTTTCAAAATAAGATCAAATTCTCTATGAAGAGCATTCATAGGAGAAATCGATAAAAGTCTTATAGCAATCGAACTTATAGGTTGGTGCAGACAAAGATCTTTACACCATATTAAAGGGTGAACATGTTTTGCACTTTACCATATTACCACATTTTACCGAAAAACACTTTTGAATTGAAATTCTGTGAGGCTGGATAAAACAACTCTGATATCAAGATTAAATTCTACAAATAGAGCAATAGGGCATTGACTCAGAAGATATCTCATCATTGATTAGTTCAAAATCATCGAAACAAGGATCAAATATGTTCGCCGCAAAATGAGTATTCTCTCAACAAATATGTAATTTTGCAATATAGTTCAGTTTAAAATATTCAGTTAATCTTTGTAAGGATGTTAAATAAAATCAGATGATATAAAAATGCCTCGAAGAAAATCAAAATTTAGATATGGTATATGACAATCTTTTTGTAATTATTCAATGTATTTATTTTTTGTAATGATATTGAAATATTAAAAATTAAAAATATACCCAGGAATCTTAACAAAAATTTTGTTCCCAGCCCAAAATTCCCTGGAAAGTTTCCAGCATTAACATTAGTAATCATAATGTTTGTAATGTTGTCTTTCTTATAAGTAATTAGTTCTGACTTGACATATTTGAGGTTTTCTAAGAAAAACATGAAATAAGAATCATTCAATAGAAAATTATAAAAATTGTCAAAACATATTAATTGAAATTTCAAAAACTATAAGATGTTTCCTTAAACTTTTTGAACAAGTTTTTGGCCCAGCTTTATAGATCTTGGATAATATAAATGTTATTTTATTATTTCAATAAAAAAATTTTTTTAATTTGCTTACTATTCACTTTTAGATGCACTGATATACAATGATTTAAGCCAATAATATCATTAACTTCTATGGTATTGGTCAAAACCACTAAAATGATAATATAATATATTTATTAAAAAAATAAGAAATAATTCATTAATATTATCATTTTTGGGCATGACTAAAATACGCGTCCCCGAAAAAACTACGCGCCCCCTATGAAAGAAGCTTAATTTAAATTAAATTAGTATAGAATCGTATTTAGCTTCATAAGATAAGTCAGAAAATGTTTTTTTTATTTAAAAAAAATTGTTAACATAGTAAAATTTAAAAAAATTAATTTTTTCACATGACTAAAATACGCGTCCCCTATTAAAGAAGCTTAATTTATAAAAAATACATGTAGAATCATATAGAGCGTATTAAAAGGTATGAAAAAATGTTAATATTATATTTTAAAACTTTTTATAAGCTAGTGGGCTTTTGAAAAAACAAATTTTTTTTTTGACTTAACTACGCGCCCCTACGGGCTCCCTATCAAAGAAGCTTATTTCATAAAAAATTAAAGCATAATCCTATTAAGCTCATTAAGAGGGATCAACAAAATGTAAATATTAAGTTTATAAATTATTTATAACTTATTGAGATTTGGAAAAAACACTTAATTTCTTCTTTTCTGACTAAACTACGCGCCCCCGTTAAATATACATCATTTTTTAACAATGAATACAGAATTAGCATTTTGCCAATTAAAAAAAATAATTAGAAATATCGAAATTTTTTGGTAAATATAACGCTACATGCAGAATTTAGCATAGATTATCAATAGGATCTAGTCAATGAAATTGATTTTCCCCAATCAAGCTATAAATCGATACGAGCCCTCGTTATTTATTTTTAAGTTTTCATAAAAGATGGGTTTTTTGTAAAATCTTAACAATTTTTTTTTAACTTTATCAAAACAAAACTCATTAAAAATTATGAGAATATTCAAATAAATAGACCTCCTATTAACCTTACGGACTGATTTTATAATATTAACTTAATAGTTTCGTTTAAAATGATTTTACCGATTAATTAAATTATTAAATGATTTTTTTTTAAAGTTATACATGATTCTGTATTCATTGTTAAAAAATGACGTATATTTAACGGGGGCGCGTAGTTTAGTCAAAAAAGAAGAAATTAAGTGTTTTTTCCAAATCTCAATAAGTTATAATAATTTATAAACTTAATATTAACATTTTTGATTCCTCTGAATGAGCTTAATACGATTATGCTTTAATTTTTTATGAAATAAGCTTCTTTGATAGGGGGCGCGTTGTTTAGTCAAAAAATTATTTTTTTGATAATAAAAATTTTTTAAAAAAATAAAATAAATAATACCATTTTCTGAATCTCCTTGAAAAGTTATACATGATTCTGTATTAATTTTTTAAAAATAATGTATATTTAACGGGGGCGCGTAGTTTAGTCAAAAAAGAAGAAATTTTTTTCCAAATCTCAATAAGTTAAAAAAAATTTATAAACTTAATATTAACATGATTCCTCTTATGAGCTTAATAGGATTATGCTTTAATTTTTTATGAAATAAGCTTCTTTGATAGGGGGCGCGTAGTTTAGTCAAAAAAAATTTTGTTTTTTCAAAAGCCCACTAGGTTATAAAAAGTTTTTAAATATAATATTAACATTTTTTTTTACCTTTTAATATGCTCTATATGATTCTACGTGTATTTTTTATAAATTAAGCTTCTTTAATAGGGGGCGCGTATTTTAGTCATGTAAAAAAATTAATTTTTTTAAATTTTACTATGTTAACAATTTTTTTTAAATAAAAAAAAAATTTTCTGACTTATCTTATGAAGCTAAATACGATTCTATACTAATATAATTTAAATTAAGCTTCTTTCATAGGGGGCGCGTATTTTAGTCATGCCCTCATTTTTTAAAACTTATTTATCTTTTATATTTAGTATTTACATATTGTTTTGTTGTGTTAAACCTAAAATTATTTTTTGATACTAAAATTCAGATGCACAGTTTATAAATTTAAATATTAATTGAATGAAACTCTTTGGTAGATTAAGTATTCCAGGATCAAGAAAATATTTCTTAGGAATAAATATTTTGTTTGATGGGCCAAATATTATCTTAGACCACCAGGTTCAAGCTAACAAGGATATACTAAATTTTTGGACCAAAAAAATTAATAAAAAGCTGATTCGCTAATACCATATTTTTAGCCAATATCTTAACCCAGATTGATACCACAGAAACTAACATTAGCCAATAAATATCACTGATACCCTATAATGATACAGTATATAATAAATCAATATTATCATTTTTTATATATCATTTATAAAATTATAAAAGTAAATTAGAGAATATAGTAAATAAAGATTAAGAGCACCTTTTCCTTATTGGTTTAGAAATTTTTAAATCAATTCTTTTTTATAAATTAACAGAAAAATGTTGGCTAAAAAATTATTTTAAACTTATGAAATTTAATTATCATTTTTATTGACCATTGATATAGGTTAAAATTCAATTTATTGACCAGTATTAATCAATCCTAGAAAGTATTTACAAAACAAATAGATTAAGTAGAATGAGATAATTGTATCAAAGTATAGCATACACTCAAATAACTTTATACCTTATAAGCCAAAGTAATTGTATCAAAGTGCAGCATAATTTTCAAAGTAATTTAAGATGATTTTAAAATAAAAGGGGTTTTTGTGCACACATACACAGCATTACATAAATTTTACCTACTTATTATTGCAACTTAGTAATCTAATGTTAAATTTTAATTAATATAAATTTTATATTTACAAAGAATATCATGTCATTAGTTATAAGAGACATATATCATTTAAATATTGTTAATAATATAAATTTTAACTCTAAAATATATTTAAATTACTAATTGATAGAAGGCATATAAAAAAACTAACTTGTTTAATATGCTGGAAAAAGTATATAATTTTTTTGATTCATCAGAAAAGTGTGAAGTATTTAAAGGTTGAAATATACGTTGACCCATTAAAATTGATGCAATCTTAAATTATTAATAAACAAATCGAATTTTAAAAAAATTAAGCACCTTAATTGCATTTGGTCTAGAAATGGGATTGGCAAAATTCCCCTCTTTTCCCTTTAAAAAATCGTAAATAATATTAGTTAGACTTTCTCCGCTAAAACAGTCTTTGTAAACTTTAATTTGGCATCTGTGATTTCCAACAATAGTGTTCTGACGTACATAGTCAATCATCTCATTCCAAAATTTAGTGTATTTAAATTGGTCATATTTCCATGATTGAGTATAATTATTGACAGGGATATTTTCCCTTTTTATATTATAACAATTGATACTATTATTTTGGGTAATTAAATCATGATCAGAAATTTTTTGGATGTTTTTTAAACTCATTAATCAAATTTTATATTTACCGCTTGAAATCTAAAATATATTTATAACCACTAGTAAAACATCTCTAATATTATAATATAAATATAGTGATTTATTATATTATAAAAACATCTTATATACTTTAATTTTATAATATATGTTATTTAACATTTTTTAAAATATTTATTTATTGTATCAAGTTTCTGATTAAATATTGATTTTTTTTTTAAATTAATTTCTTTTTCATATTTATTTTGATTTTCATTAGATATTACTACGGATTCGATTTCTTTGTGGGTTAGATCAATTAGTTCATCTTCTTGAAATTTATTTTCTTTATAATCTTTATTATCGTCATGACTTAATTTAAGACCAATTATATCTATTTTATTTAAATTGCTTGCTTGAAAATTTGGATGAGTTATTTTTGCTGTAAATTTTTTAATTTGTTTTAATTTTGTTCCAATCGTATTCGAATTGTCTATTTTTTTTATGGGTTTTATATTTAAGCTATTATTACTAACATTTTTTAAATTGCCATTGGATTTTTTTTCACTAGATATTAAAATAGCATCTTTATCTTTATCTTTTATGATACTGATTTTTTCGGATTCTGCCTTTTTTATAATTTCTTTGTCATCTTTTTGAGATTTTCTTGATTTACTTTTTTCCAGTTTGGATAAATTACTTGTGGAATCTGATATTTTTGAAAATTGTAGAGATTTTTTCGATAATGATGAAACGTTGTTGTCAATATTATCTTCGAAGCTATCGTAATTAGTTGAAGGACTATTTCTAATTTTTTTAATCTTGTAAGATACCGGTAAGCTAAAACTTCTTTTAAGTATTAACATAGCTTTTATATCACTTTTTGTATTAAAATCCACTGTGCCTTGAGTTTCGGCCCCTTTAAGTAATAAAAGTTCTGACAATGACAATATATTCGCTTGGCTTTCAGTTATACTACTGGATGATGAGGATTGTGAATCAGATGATGCATCACTAAGATTAATTTTATCAATATTTAATGTGGAATTTTTAGATAAATTGCTTTTATTATCAGAATCAAATTGTTTGACTTCTTCCTTAGAAACTATATTTTTATAATCATCAGTGTCTTTGAAATATTTAGCTTGATCGTTTCTTAATTTTTCTGATTCGGAGTTAATTTGTTTTAAATCTTTCATACTATAATTTTTGGTATAACTTCTTGATAAAGTATTTATAAGTTCGTAGCATTGTTTATCATCCAATTTATTTGCTAAATCGAAAGCTGTTAGACCGTCATTATTTTTATGATTCAAATTTAGAACTCCTAATCTTTTGAAACACCTTAATAGAATATTAACCCCGGCAACATTATTGGACTTGATTGCATACATTAGAGGAGTATTACCTAAATAGAGTAATATAAATATTAGAGAGATATCCATAATTTATAATATATATTGTTTATAAAAAATTATGCTAATATCATATAAATGTTATTTATTCATTTGCATCCTGTAACTAATCTTTCATTGAATATAAAACCTTCCGTATAACCCGTTTTCATTGAGGAGAAAATCCCTTAACCCCACACTAAAGATTTGACAAGTGTCACCACAAGCTCTTATAGATTTGTGTTACATACAACAGTTGTATTAAAATATAGATATATAATTAAAAAAATATTAAAAATAACAAGGGGGGGGGGGTCACTAGCAAGAGGGTCTCAAAAAATTTTTAAATTCTTTTGAAAATTACTTTCATTTTTTGCTAACATTATCTAAACTTTTTTTAGCATACATTATCTAAAATAACCCTTTTTATGCTAACACTATTTAAAATTACCTGCTCTTTTATAATTATCTAAAATTATCTTTTTTAACTAACATTATCTAAAATTACCTTTATAATTGCGAAATATCGGATATGTGCAAAATTTTCAGGTCCAATTTATATGACAATAACTATTTAATCGGGGAAGTGAAAAAATAAAAATAAAATTTATCAACAAAAATTATTCGTGAGATTTCTTTACATGAATTGCCTTTATCTTTTTTAAAAATAAAAATGGAGATTACGATAATGTTTAAATTATTTTTGAATAAACATCATTCCAAAGGTCAAAAGTAGAAAATCATTGAAAATTAAGCACTACTTCTAAAATACAATTAGCATTAAGTTATAAATGTCATGTTTTCACAATTTACAAATTGGAAGCTCAAATCCCTGCAGCTAAAAGAGTTAGAATGAGTTGTTACCCAAAAACAGAGCTTTATTGATTTGGTTTACCCAAATGAGAAGTTTAAATTTCAATATAAATGGACCTGTAGGAAAAGGCTATATTTTTTAGCCCAAACATTCAATGAAGGTAAATTTTAATTTTTATATTATGTATAATTATAAATTATAGATATTCCTACTAGCAGCTGGTTGTAGAGATTTAGGAAAAGACAGAATATAAATTTTCATAATGTTTGTAATGAAAATGGGGGGGAGTGCAGATATTATTAATGCAAATGAGTGGAGCAAAATTACACTCCCTATCTGATTAAATAATATCAAAGTAGTAATATTTACAATTATGATGAGATAGGGCTATTCTATCTAGCATTATCAGGGCACAATGGAATTTAGTGAAACTCAACCTACACCAGACAAGGAAAAGGTTTGAGTTCCATTTATCATAAATGGGGAATGGATCTGATAAAAAGTTATATATGTTGTAGGGAAATTTAAAAACCTTGGGTGCTTTAAAAATTAATTACTAGTGAAAAACTACACTTGGATAACAACTTCAACTTTTAAAGATATCCTAAGAGAATAAAATTCTACATTAATGAAGAAAATTTCATTGTTCATTGTCAAAAAACAAAATTAACATATATATAATTTATTTATTTTTACCAGCAAATATCACATCCTTAATTCAACCTTTGGACATGGGTGAGATCTTTCAAATGTCATTATGGAAAGGATATCATGAAAAAGATGATAACATTGATGGAAGGAAATGCCACTACCTCTTTTTATAGAAGATTTATACTTTATAATAGCCTCTATCTTATAAAATTAGCATGTGAGGTGACAATTACCACAATCATAAAATGTTTTATCTATTCTAATTTTTTGATAAGTCTATGGCATTTGATTGGGAATTGGAGGATGATATGGCACTAGCTGACAAAGAAGAAGTAGAATTTAATCCTATTATATATCATTAGAGGATGATGCTAGCTGTCATTGTATATTGGATGATCAGAACATTTGTAATCAAATAAGAATAGAATTTGAAGGTTTAATTACTTCAAAAATTTTAATTAATCTTATTTTTTATAAAAGGTTATGAAAGCTCTGAGAATGATGAAGGAAATATAGAGATATCTGATAATTTAATTACAAAAAAATCAGATTCTTAATTGTTATTATACATTTCTTGAATATGCACATGATCATCTAAGGCAGTGACCCCTACAACGGGGGGGGGGGGTCCGAAGCAACTGCTTCTATAAATTTCTATGGGGGTACTTATTTTTTTTTTTTTTAAATTTTTAAAATTTTTTTAAAAAAAATTTTTTTATTTTATTTTTTTAAAAATTTTTATGGTCGATGTTTAGCAAATTAGTTTGTTATCCGATATTTCTTATAAAATTATTTTTCCACTTTAAAGATTTGGCGCAAAATTAAAATTTTATCAAAGGGAATAGTAAAAATTTAAATATTAAATCTTATATATAATCATTTATAATTTTTAGATCATTGTCAAAATATGCCCAAAAATATTAACCAAAAAAAATATAAATGCTTATCTCGCAATCAAGCCTTCTGGGGGAACAGGCAACAAGATGGCAATATGATGAGCCTTATTAAACTTATTGCAAATTCTGAGCCTGTTCTTAAAATGTATATACAAGATAATGAAGAAAGAAGAAGTGAGAAAAAAATTAAGGGATTAAAATCTAAATTATATTCAAATCTGTTATCATATAATAACATAAATATTCTTATTGAAACCATGAAAAATATGGTTATAAAAAAAATTAAAAAGGAGATTGAATTCAACAGGTGCTATTCAATTATAGTTGATGGCACATATGATGTATCGAAATCAGAAGCAATAGCTTTGATAGTGAGATATGTTGAAAATAGCGAGACACCTAAGCCCGTTGAAAGGCTGATAGACATTTATTGTACCGGAAATACAACGGGCCTCGATATTAAAAAGAATATAATATCCAAGCTTGGCTCCATGAATCTACCCCTTGAATTCCTAGTGGGGCAAAGCTATGATGGCGCCTCAAACATGAGTGGAAGAATTAATGGATGCAGGCTTTGATTAGAGCGGAGGCGCCAAAGGCAGCTTTTATTTGGTGCTATTGTCATCGATTAAATTTAATAGTTGTTCAATAATGTCAATCAGTAAAAGAGCTGCGAAATGTCTTGGGAATATTAGACGAAATTTACGTATATTTTAATGGTGTTAAAAGATATGAAGTACTCAAAACATGTCAGAGTAATTTACTGACAAAATCACATAGATTTTTACGCATCAAGAATACCACTCGGTAATATTATCTTAATTGTTTCGATATATAATGTTTATTTTATATTTATAGAAGCTGGCTAACATCATATAAGGCCATTGTAAATTTTTTCCTACTTTATGATGCTTTGAGGGCAGCTTTGGCAAATTTAAAGGATTCTGAAGATCCTGCCACTTCCACTATGGCTAGTGCTCTAGTCTATAGAATAGAAAAATTTGATTTTATTTTATCACTATGTGTTTTGGATAAAATATTGTTGATAACAAGCTTGGCTTGTACAAAATTGCAAACCATTTCGAAGGATATAGGGTTTGCAATAAATCAAATTCAATTGGCAAAAGATTGCCTGATTAATATGAGAAGTATAATTTAAATTATTATCTTTTATTATTTTATAATCCTAAAATTGATAATAACACTGAATTTTTGGATGTCTTTTCAAAGGCCCAAGATTTTATGGAGAAGAGAAATTTACCTTTTGATTTTGAAAGTTCAAGACTTCAAACATTACAATCCAAAAAGGAGAGGTATATATATACTTTCATCATTAAATATAATATTTTATTTTAGCTTTAAAATCAGTGTGTTTTATGCTGCACTTGATTTAATTATTATGCAGTTTAGTGAAAGATTTAACGATGAATCGATAAAATTTTTGAGTCAAACATCATTTTTTACTCCAGAGGGAATGGCGGAAAAGGCAATTGTTAAAGATGATATCAAGGATATCTGTGAATTTTATCAATTAAATGCAAGTCAAGTTTTTGAGGAAATGTTGATGTTTAGAAATATTTATAAAATGGCTAAAACGGGGGACGTAATTATTACTCGAGACCTAGAGATTAAAGAAGATTTGTCAGATTCTGAGAATTGTAAATTTATTTAATTAAAATATTTTTACTAATACATTATTTAGCTTTATCTGATGATGATAATAATTCTGAGATGAATGATTCAGACTGGAGAAACTATTCATTTATTTTACCTTATCGTCTGCTTATAAATTTTTCTGCTTTCCCAAATTTAACAATTTTATATAAATATTTATTAACTATTCCTACTACATCATGTACTGCCGAAAGGGTCATGAGTAAAATTAAAAAAGACTTCGTAGTGTCATGAAAGATCCATTTCTTAATTGTTTTAACCATTTTATCAATGGAAAATAATTTATTTAAACAATTAAATATTGATGAAATTATAAATTCTTTTGCTTTCTCTTCCCCTAATTTATCTAAATTATTAATTTAAAAATAATATTTTTAAAGCATATATTTTTTACATTATATTTATATTATAATAAATATTGATGCAATAAAAATTATTTTTGAAATTTATTGGTGTCAAAAAATAATTTACATTGGGGGTGGGGGGGGGGTACTTTAGGGGGGTATTCTGCTTCTATCCCTCAAAAAGTGTAGGGGTCACTGATCTAAGGGAACAAGATTCACTAAGATAGCAAGATAATATATTCGAAAAAGCATTATTTACTCCAGAGTCTAGCCAAACTCTTATCACAAAATATTTTTTATTAAATCTTACATTATTTTACAATAATTGTGATGCAGGTATAATAAAATAAGTTCAAATAAAATATTCTGTTGAAACATAACGCATCAATAAACTTTCATTTAGGCATGGCCGTTAATATATTTACATTTATAATATTAGAATTCATAAGTTAATAATTTCAAAAAGATTAGTTTATTTTGTAAAAGGTAATAAAAGCTCCGAAATGGTGAAGGGAATCTAAAGATATCTGATCATTTAATCTTATAAAATCATGTTTATAAAAATGATCTTTTGAATATTGAATAATTCTAGTATTTAAAAATCCTTGATATTTACATGGGAAAAATTAAATTCA